TTTTATGCGCCCTGCGCATGCGCATGTAACTCCCCCTCTCCCCCCCTGCTCCTGGCATGCGATGGCCTGGTAGGCCTGGTTATCTTTCTTACCTGGTTCCAGATCCTCTCTATCTGGGAAGGGCGAAAACAGCCTTTCTCACTCCCACGGAGGCCCTCCAAAGGTCTGAAATGGCCCATTTCCCAACTCCTGGTGGAACAGGAAGTGACGTTTTTTGCTGTCCCCAGCCTTTCTAGCAGTCTCTGGAGGCTGGGGACAGCAAAAAAGTCACTTCCTGTCCCCCCCCAGGCCTCCGGAGGCAGGAAACACCCTACTTCTGGTGGGCCCAGAAGGCCTGAAAATCAGCTGGCCGGCATGCACATGCGTGCCAGAGCTCAGCTGGCATGCCCACTGATATGGCTACACGTGCCACCTGTGGCACGCATGCCATAGGTTTGCCATCATGGGACTAGGCTATCGGTTGTTCTCAAATTCATGTCACTTGCAGCATTCCTTGCTTACGGTAGGGCATAATTCCGGTCAATTCTCAGTCACTGAGGATGGACCTATCAGAAAAAGGTTAACTTGACCTTTTTTAGATGGAAAACCGGGCTTAGTCTTACATCTATGGAGGAAAACCCTCCTCATTAGTCTTAGTTTTGCTGAGATTTTCCTTGGGCTAGATATTCACAAGGCAGAGAAAAAAAAAAGTTCACAGCCACAGCTTTACCGATATTCCATATAGCATTATCAGTCAATGTGGATTTATTTGGTCTGTTTTCCAACCCTATTAAGATTTTTACACAGACCAACTCCACAATGTCTCTGAATAGTTTACAATTAAAGAATTAAGAGGAAAACAATATATGTCAAAGAGAAAGGGGATAATCATCTGAAAGATGAACCTTATAAAACAAAAAGAACAAAAGGATAAAAAAACCAAAGAGATTTTTAACCACTAGATAGCCTGGGATGGTTTCTGACCATCCCAGGCTATCTATATGTTTGCCTCTCTCCCATTGTTTCAAGCTGGCTCACTAGATCTGTCAGAGAGGGTGTGCTGTGGGTCCCTTCTATTAAATAATGTCATCATTTTGGACTCGAGAGTTGTACCTTTTCGGTGGCAGTTCCTGTTCTATGGAACAGCAATCCCTAGACATCTGAAAGGTACCAGCCATGTTAGTCCTTCAAAAGACTCCAAAGAAAATGCTGTTTCCCCAGGCATTTGGACTAGGAAGTTAGGTGAGCTTTGCTGCTGATTTAGCTTTTCACTAAAGAAGAAATGGGCCGGTGAGGCAGGTGTAGGGGTGTGCGAGACTTGTTACAACTGTCCAAAGGTAAGTAGTAGGAGCTCCACCACCCCTTCCCCCTCAGCTTAACTTTTACCAGTGTACTCTGGAGTGGGCGGGATCTTAATTAGGGCTTATTTTGGGGTAGGGCTTATATTGGGCACATATGTAAAAATCAAGCTACGACTTACTTTCAGGATAGGTCGTATTTTCGGGGAAACGGTACCATCGTTCAAGTTCTGATTTCTCCTCTTGTTATTACTTCACCTTATATAAAAATGTGTATTCCATTAATCCCCCTCTCTCTAGTTTCCATCCCTATTCTAACTTTTAATTATGCCACTATTACATTTAAAAATATTCCCTTTCTATCCATCGTCTCTTGCCCGCTTTAAAGCTTTAATTGTTTGTTTCTTAGCTTGCCTCCCATATTCCTCTCTTGGATCTTTAACTCTATCTGCTTCTACATCTTGACCAATCATTTTAAACATTTCTCTCTTCTCTGCCCTTTTCCATTGCTAATTTTCAAAATATCTACCCTTGCCCCTATCGCTCTTCCAAAAAAGTCTTCCTGCAACTCCAGTTCCTTTTTTAATTCCCTTAAAGTACTCCTCCCTCAGCTTATTTCATCAGTCATTATTGTTTTTGTTGTTATCTCCTTTTTGTCATCTTCTTTTATTTGTTGGTTTGTCTGTTCTGTTTTTTCATCTACTCTTTCAATTGGCTCCTCTTCCTGAGTGTCTTGGTCACTCCTTGTCCTTTGTATCATGTTTTCCAGCTCCCTAACTATGCATTTTATTCATAATCTCCTTGTATCTTCTTGTCAAAGTATCAAAACTTTGAATTTCCGAATTCAAAGTATTAAGGATGCTTAATGCTGTCTTCCCAAATTCCACTTATTTCTTGCTGGTGGAGCATCTCGTTTAGTTTTATTTTATCCCTCTTTTGTCCAATAATCCAAAAACCATATATTCAAACCTAAAGTCACTTCTCAAAAAGTTTGATATTCATAAAACTTGCTATCCCAAAGCTGATTGACCTGTTCCTCTGGATAGTCTCAAAAATTTTTCCCAGAACTTTCATAAGTCCCTCTATCAATTCAGTCTTGTGTTGTAGCCTTCAGGGGTCACTTTAATAATAATGTCTTTCTTATTCTGACATTTAAATTGCCAATAGCCAAGTATTTCAGGATTTTGGGAATATGTTATGCCTTCCTTTTGTCAGCAGGTCAAATTTCAATATTAACCAGTTTTATCCAATTTTAATGGTAACAATCAAAATATAAAGATGATGTTACTATTTTAAGTAAATAGTTCCAGCATTTTGAAATGCCTATCCAAACGCCTGTCCAATTTAGAAATCCAATTTTCTGGGTTTTTAAAGGTTTTTCCTCTCTCCCTTTGATTCTTTTTCCTACAATTTTGAAATTCTTCTCAAAATGTTAAATTGCTGCTTTTAAAAATAGCAGTGAGCCTCTCTTTTCTTTTGGATATTCTTTTGGTTTCGTTTAGTTTTAAGTAAAAAGAATTCTTCTCACCCAGTTCCAGACACTGTTCACCAACTCTGTTCCAGTACAGTTCTTAGGTGTTTCTTGCCTGTCCCAGCTTCGTGGCAACTGTCTTTAGGCTGCCCCTTCTCCTCGCCATGGCATAGAGGGAAAAAAGCCCGGGGTTCAGCAGCAGAGTTGCGCCCCTCCTTAGCTTCGCTGCCCCTACAAGGCGGCTTTGGCTCCTGTTGGAGCCCACAAACAGGGAGAACTTGGCACAGGGAATGTGGAAACCCATTCCCTGCGTCTGATATCGCTGCGACATCAGCCGGACAAGACTGATTTGGAACTTTTCTTCAGGTACTCCATGTCAAGCCCACTCTCAGGAATTTTTTTTCCAGTTCAACAGAGCCTAAACAGGCATTCTATTTGAAACCTCTATTATGACTATAGCAAGCATTTCATTTTTTGTGCTTTCAGATTATTTGTAAAAAGTAATTTCATCAATATAAACTCATTATGTTTGAGTTATATATTTTTGTTGCAAAAGAGTTTTTGGAAGAGGCTTTGAAAGCAGAATACCTCTTGTCTCCAATTCTCCAATTATACTTAATTTGTTCTGATTCATTGGAGTATGTAATGCAAAACAATTTGGCTACACTACTAAATGAAAATAATTATTTTTGGTGCATCTCTTTGGCTAAGTCGGGTGGGCCAAGAAAGGGAGCAAGAATAATGTTACTTGAATTAATAAGGAGCTTTTTCTATTGAGTGTCTTAATAGAATTTTCAAGCCTACTTTCCTAAACTCATTTTGTCTAGAAGCTCTAATTAACAGGTTTGTGTTATTTATTATGTTTACTGCACAAATATGTTACTATTTCAAGGGAGTCATATAAATTAAAAAATACTTTTAATTAGTTTTACTCTGATCAAACTCGTCTATATCTTATATAATGGAAAATATATTTACTATTCAATGCATAACATGAATTCAGGTAGGACAAATGGTAAAGTTTGGGATTATTTTATAACGCATAATTAATATGATTGCAACTTACATTTTAAGTACTTTTATTTTTCATCTTTAACAAATAACATTTATACATAGATTTATACAAGAATTTTGCATTGTCAAATTCAGTTGTACACTATGTTGTTCAGTAAATATATAGCCTGAGTGGATTTATCAAGAAACATTTTAAATCTATAGAGAAGTAATTTTTTAGGTTTTGGAACTGGCATTCCAAAAAAATAATCAAGACACTATCTCTTTATAGTAATAATGCACAGTCTTTTACAAGTTGCATTTTAAAATTTAAGTAGGGCCAGCAGAGAAAATCTAGATTTAATTTAATTTAAATTATATATATTACCCATCTATTATATATTTTTCTTTAAGTTATATTAAAATACATTATTGGAAACAATTTCAGAACGTCCTAGGTCAATGATGGCCAACCTTTTTGCCATCGCATGCCAGAGGGAGGGATCACGTGCGCGTGCCCACACCCATAATTCTATGCGCCCCTGCATGCGCATGGGACCCTCCCTGCTCCCCGCACTCCTGGCACGTGATGGCCTGGTAGGCCCGTTTTTCTTTCTCACCTGGCTCTAGGGCCTCTCTAGTAATTTGGGGAGGGTGAAAACTGCCTCCCCCCCAGGAGGTCCTCCGGAGGCCAAAAACAGCCTGTTTAACAACTTCCAGTGGGACTGGTACGCCCGTTTTTTGCTGTCCCCAGCCTCCAGGGCCTCTCTAGGAGTCTGGAGAGGGCGAAAATGACCTTCCCCACCCCCATGGAGGTCCTCCGGAGGCCAAAAATGGCCCGTTTGACAACTTCCGGAAGTTGAGCTCTGATATGGCTACGTGTGCCACCTGTGCCATAGGTTCGCCATCACGGTCCTAGGTGCTTGTTCCCAGGTCTCTGCAACCGTAAAACCTTATGTTCTGCAACTTTGCTTTACATTTTAGTCATTATTGAGTTCATTTCTTGTATTATTTGGTGTTGGTTTACAATAAGATTTTATACATGTGTTGGGAACTATTGCATTGATACCTCAGGTATCACTTGATGAGTTTAGATATGAAAGAAAAATAACCACATGAAGAAATGAGGATGTTCTGAAGAGCTTGTTCTAAAAAGTGTTCATCATATTGTGTGAAACAGTTTTTAAAGTAGAGAAAGTTGTACATTTAAGTGAATTGTTATGGTCAGATGTGTAATAATCGAATGTCTTCCTTTATAGATATTGAAGATTTGCCGCCAACAGTTCAAGAGAAGCTTTTCGATGAAGTACTTGATAGGGATGTTCAAAAAGGTAAATATGTTGTATAATATATAGTTTACACAATATGATATTATTAATTTGACTGTGTTTTAGAATTTACTTTGGAAAAGCTTTCACCTGAGGTTTATGGAATAGTAATTAAGAATAGAACTATTAAAGAGCACCAGGGAAGAACTAAATATAAATTTACAAATTGCATATGTATGTGACAGGAATAAATTGATGTTCTTTTCTTTGATGTATTATCAGAAGGGTATAGGTGGCAGTATAATTCACTAAATGTCAAGGTTCCAAGTAATAGATCCCATTTAATAAGAACTCCGAGACAGGCAATTTCCTTAAAGAACATTTTATTGGGACATATCAATTTGGCATGTTCCTGGTGGAAAACCGGCTCTAAGTTCCTGCCGGTTTTACACCCAATTAAAAGGAAAACTTTGTCACTTCCCCCCAGAGTCTTCAGTCACATGGTCCAATCAGCATACAGTCCAGTTGCTAGGTGACCTCAGTCTCCACCTTTCGAGCACCTGCACCAATGTCCTTAATTCCCAGAGCAAAGAATTTTATTTAGGCTACAACCCAGAGGTGGGTTTCAGCCAGTTCGGACCAGTTTGGGCAAACCAGTTGTTAAATTTTTGTGCAGTTCAGAGAACTGGTTAATTGTACCACTGGTTGGCCCCTCCTGCCCCTCCCCTCCCAATCACTCCTTATCTCGCCTTAGCCATGGCATAGCAGCTGCTCTCTGGCTTCCTCATTTGCTAGCTCACTTGCCTCGACCACATGGCCCCTGCAGCCCAGCCCACTTGCCTGCCTTCGCCCCGGCATCCCACGTGGCCCTGGTCCTTGCTGAGCCTTCCTTTGCCATTCTCCACTGCCTCCCACACGGCCCAGCTACTTGCCTGTCTGTTGAGCCTTCCTTCGCCTCTTTGCCAGCACAGACAGCCTGTTGCCGCTGCCTCTTTCCCGGTGCAAACGGCCTGCTGCTGCGTCTTTGCCGTGAGTGACATCAAGTTGGCCACGCTCACTCAGTCACATGACCCCCCCAGCTACGCCCACCTGGTCATTAGGAAGAACCGGTTGTTAAATTAGTTGAATCCCACCACTGCTACAACCCCCCCAGCTATCTCTACACTCCCCTCCCTGGCCTTTTCACTCCAGGCTGTGTCAATACGTACAGTAGTGCAAAATAATGAGCAAGTGAGAATCATTCATTTAGTTGGTAATTGATTTCCCCCCACAATTTCTGCTCTTTGAAGGAACCTTAGAATAGAAGAATTTTAAGGTAGTTAAAATTTTATTGGAGTTTCCATTCTTTATTTATTTAGAATAATGTTTTCATCAAATATCCTTAAAACCATATAATACAGGGGGAATGAGGAAAGAGGGGCTGCTTCACAGGGCAAAATCAGAGACCTTGAAACACTCAACTCTGACCACTATCTTCCTTTTCTCCTGAGCACACCTGGGACTTGTGCCTGCTACTATCACAACAACAAAGAAGAAACGGGCAAGAAACTTTTTCTTGCTGGACTTCAGTTTTGGCAATCTGGAAATGCTAGGCTTCCCTCTATTGTCTTGAAGCTAAGAGAGTTTTACTTAAAAGCCAAGCAATTTATCTGCTTTATCTAAAAGTAATAAAAGTACTAAATGGTTTTGTGTCTTGCTCATTGGATTTAAGATGGCCAATTGGGTACTGTTTCTATTTTGTAGAATTAGAAGAAGAATCTCCCATTATAAACTGGTCACTGGAACTGGGTACACGTTTGGACAGTAGACTTTATGCACTTTGGAATCGGACTGCAGGAGATTGCCTGCTTGATTCAGTTCTACAAGCTACCTGGGGCATTTATGATAAGGATTCGGTGCTACGTAAAGCTCTTCATGACAGTTTACACGATTGTTCTCATTGGTAAGCAGAAATGGTTTTGCTGTACAGTCGAATGACTTTAATTGTTAACTTTCTTCAAACAAAAATCCAGAACTTTTAGATTTGGGAGGGATAAATTTGCTAGTCTTTTACAGCAAAAGCAATATTCTTTTGCAATCTTACTCTGTCATAAAATATTGAAACTTTTGTGTCAGAAAACCTTCCAATTTATATAAATAGTAAGTTGTGTCTATATAGTATATAAAGTGACATTTAATTAGTCAACTGATGGTCCAATGGGATTTATCTGAAGAGTTATTTATATATCTTATCACATCTATAAGGGATGCGGTGGCTCAGTAGCTAAGACGCTGAGCTTGTCGATCGAAAGGTCGGCAGTTCAGCGGTTCGAATCCCTAGTTCCGCGTAACAGGGTGAGCTCCCATTGCTTGTCCCAGCTTCTGTCAACCTAGCAGTTCGAAAGCACATAAAAAATGCAAGTAGAAAAATAGGGACCAACTTTGGTGGGAAGGTAACAGTGTACTGTGCTTAGTCATGCTGGCCACATGACCACGGAGACGTTTTCGGACAGCACTGGCTCTTCAGCTTTGAAACAGAGATGAGCACCGCCCCTTAGAGTCGGGAAAGACTAGCACATATGTGCGAGGGGAACCTTTACCTTTTTATCAATTTTTTAAGTGTTTTTAAGTGTTTTGTTTATTGTTTTTAATTAATGGGGCCAAATTTATATATGTATATTTTAACTGTATTTTAATATTTGTACTTGATGTTTTTACTTGGCTGTTCACCGCCCTGAGTCCTCAGGGAGAAGGGCGGTATACAAATTCAAAATAAAATAAAAATAAAATAAATCACATCTATGTTTTTGCTGTGATTGGGAAGTTTGTACTAGCACAGCCTTCTCTACCTTTGACTTTATCTCCAGAAGTGTGGATTTAACTTAGAGAACTTTCAGCATTGCCCATGCTGAAAGTTCAGCTAACCCTAGGAGTAGTCCTGAAGACACTATGAGTTGGAAAAATTATCCTGGCTCATTGAGAAGTAGGCGTAGAGTCAGAATCAGTATTATAACCAGTATATGCAGTACCCCAGCGATTGAAGACATTGCTCATGTTTTGTTTGATTGTCAGTTATATGCCCTTCTTAGACTTAGATACTTAACATTCTTACTTGAAAAAACAGTCCACTGAGGTCAGAATTACAGATTGTCCTATTTCCTCCTGGGTTCTAATCTATACATCGGAAGCAGAACTGCTAAATTTATAGTTAAGGCAGTTGAATTAAGAGCCTGTTACATTGAACGTATCTGGATAAGCTGTTTGATTGTTGATTCATATCTTCCACATATGTATTTTATTGCTGTATTTTCTTTTATATATATCTTACCCTGAAATTATATTCTGTATTTTATTTTTGTTTTATATTTAGATATGGTGCTATGACTAATCAATTATCTGCAGTCTCTCCACCCCCTCTCTCCCATCCATCCATCCATCCATCTTATTATTCATGTTAAAATGTTACTTCTAAAATTTATAGCTGTTGTATGAGCATGCACAATAAAGTAGTAAGCAACACATGATGGAATAAGAAAATAAGAAAAAAAATTAAAAAGCTTAACTATTTGCAGTTTTAGACATTAGATCACATACATATAAGAATTATTTTTGAAAGGTCATCTGTTAATCTATTAGGGAAATGATTGTTGCAAAAACAGTGAAAAATGATCAATTGATAATTCAGATTCAGGTAGGAAAGAATGATTCACACAATCCTGAAATTGGATGTAACTGCTTTAATAAGTGCAAATAGATGCTGTGTGGCACTCCTGCCTATTCAGAAGCAGGTTTTCCTAAATAAATCCAAGCCTTTGCATAGTTGACTCTCTCTCTCTTATACCTACATGCATACATACATAAATACATACATACAATGGTACCTTGGTACTCAATTGCTTTGAAACTCATCAACTTTTTTACTCAAATGCATTTTGATGTGAAACTTTTGTCTCAATACTCATCGTTTGTTTTGTACTCAACTCACAAGCTAGGATTTGTCAGTGTTGGCTGCCTTGTGACTCACTACATTATTCCTTATGGGAAAAATTGGTTTGGTACGCATCGTGTTTGATATTCATGGAAGCAATTAATGATGAGTGCCAAAGTCAGCCAGCCAGCCAGCCAGTCTGTCTTTCTCTCCTTCTCTCTCTCTCTCTCTCTCTCTCTTCCGTGTGTGTGTGTGTGTGTGTGTGTGTGTGTGTGTGTGTGTGTTGACCAAGAGAGATGTTGGCTAACTATTGCAGCAAGAAATACTAATTCTTACTCTCTTCATCTTCCTGTCAAATCATCGATTAAGTAGCCCAAATTCTGGACAAAGCCTGTGTGATTGGGTAAGATGAAATAAACTGTTACACACATACTTTTTTATAGGTTCTATACCCGATGGAAAGAATGGGAATCATGGTATTCTCAAAGCTTTGGTTTACATTTCTCACTGCGAGAAGAACAATGGCAGGAAGACTGGGCATTTATACTTTCTCTTGCTAGTCAGGTAAGAATGTCACCGTAAGTAAAAGCGTAACATGGGAAAGACTACCTTGCTGAGAAATGTATTTGCATTTTTCTTAACAAGTTCTCTAGATTTCTATTTTGTAATGCATATTTTAGATTACCTGACTGAAAACTATTTTCTTTAGTAGGCCTCTGGTATTGTTATAGGTACTTTAATTTGGTGTTTGTACTTGTGAGTGATTCAGATGTTACAAGCATTATCCAATCAAAATCATCAATGGTTTTTTTTTTTTACATTTTACATAAAATTGAAATTATGTAAAGATTATTGGGGTTAATTATGTCAATTTGAATAATCACAGCTTCTTTAAGCTATATATACACTATCTCACTGAACTGAATGGGAATTTCTTCTGAATACACCTGCAAATCTAATTATAGCTAAATTTAGGAACTGTGCTAACTTTGAGCACTTATAATAATCTGTAAACTTTAGAAAAGCCTAAATAAATAAATATTTTAAGCTTCATAGATCTTGCTATGGACAATGTTATAGTTATGCTTACCTGATGATGTCTCCCAAAGAAAAGAGGATTATATAAAAGTCAGACTAAACATTACCAAAACAACAACTCCAGTATAATTTCCATTTTTCTTGTCGGCCATTGTTGCCAATTTCCACTAAATCAGTCTGGAGGGTTTTTTTTCCTCTTCTAACATATATGTGTATGGGACACACTAGTAAGTTCATACTGATCTGGAGGGTACATGCACCAAACAGAGGAAAATATAATATTAAATGGATTATACGGCACCCAGTTGTGAATTAGTTAATGTCTTTTCTATATATATACACACTACATAGGAATTATTATTTTTCAGAATAATTTCTCTTACATGTGTGCTGTAAGATACAATACTTACATGCATGCTATAATACACATTCACATCAGTAAAAGAGATTGCAAAAAATGTTGATGGCTCAGGATGTTTTAGCAAGTCCTATTGTGTGTGTTTGTGTGTTTGATAAATTTGTTTTATCAAATTTACATGGCCACCCATCTCACAGCCCCATTTTGATCTCACTATAGTAATCCAATCGGGAGGTGATTAGGGCATGATTGTGAACAGAGGCCCTGATTTAGGAATTTGGGCACAACTGGCACACAACATGAAGCTGTGCAAAGGCCTTCCTAGCCACCACTCCTATCTAAAGGAGTTGTGAGTCCAGGATCTCCCCACACCTCCAAGTTTGTGTACCAGCATGATTGTAAAACTGGTGGGCCCCAGAACCTAAAGGCACTCAATCTTGCCAAGATTCAGCTGAAGCTTGTTGTTTCCTATCCAGATACTCACAACCTCCAGACACCAGGATAAGACGTTAAAAGCCTCACATCACTTAATTCACCAGGGGCAGAGATACATAGTTGGGTATCATCGGTGTACAGGTGGTCCTCAACTTACGACCACAATTGAGCCCAAAAGTTAGGTTGCTAAGTGAGAAATTTGTTGAGCGAGGTTTGCCCCATTTTACGACCTTTCCTTTCCTTGCCACAGTTGTTAAGTGAACCACTGCAGCTGTTCTATTAATAACACGGTTGTTCAGTGAATCTGGATTCATCATCGACTTTGCTTGTCAGAAGGTCTCAAAAGCTGATCACGTGACCCCAGGACACAGGAGACGTCATAAATATGAACCAGTTGCCAAGCATCCAAATGTAAATCACATGACCATGAGGATGCTGCAATAGTTGTAAGTGTGAAAAATGGTCATAGGTCATTTTTTTTCAATGCTGTTGTAACTTTCAGCGGTCACTAAACAAACGGTTGTAAGTCAAGGACTACCTATACTGATGATACCTCTCCCCATGGTCATACCCACAGCAGTAAGAAAGAGACTGCAAAAATATTAGCTCGGTGTGGGGACATATTCTTTGCAGCAAGACCCATCCTGTTTAGTTGCTCTTGCCTCCAGATATAGTTGCTCTTACCTCCAGGTATAGTCTGTTACTATGCTGGAGATGGGCCTATTTAGCCCAGCTTACTCCATGTAATTAAGATACAAACTGGAGAAGAGATCCTTGGGGTATTGAGTTGTGTTTTTTTTCCCTTCTGTTTGCAACAAGGAAACAGGTTGATAGAGGTCTTTGTGCTGGGCTGCAAGCACATGGAAATCTATGCATGCTAACTCTATAGAAAATCCCATTTAGTTCATTGGCTCTTATTCCCAGGTGAGTATTCTTAAAATTTCTAGTCCTGTTCGATCAGCCTGCTACCTCATTCTCTTCTCATTCCCTTCCATTCCCTTCCATGTGTAGAGGATAAGGGTCTGCAGTGGAGAGCCTTTTGTCCCTGGAGACTCTCTGAAGATTAGAGATTTTTCTGAATCTTCAGATAGAGAATCTCTGTGGGTAGAGGAGGCTCTCCATTGCAGGTACCCTCACTCACTGCATGTGGAGGGCATCAAGGAAGGCAGGACTAGTCAATATATCAGCCTGAAAAGGCAGCGATTCCTCCGTCTGCTGCCTCCATTTCATGCTTTCATTATTTATATCTCCTGCCTATTCACCTGCTTTCAACAACATGTTTCTGTTATTGTATTTTTCCTCCCCTCCCAATATTTTTTTTTTGGGGGGGGAGAACATTGCATTCTTTTAGATCAATATGATTCTAGCTTTATGTGTGTATATGTAACATTCTTGGTTGTCTAAAAGGCATGCATACTCCCTGTACTCTCCCAGCATTTTGAGTTTCTGCTCTGATTCTATGGATCTAAATTGTATAATGTAAATTGTAATATGTAATTATTTTATAATAGTGTCAACATCATTATCGTAATCATTTCAGCTGACATGCTGCTTAGGACACTGGTTAAACAACACAATTCTTGCTGATTGTTTTACTAGGGTTTGAGAGCAGTATTCCAAGCTGGTTTAAAAAGCTGGAGAGTGTTGCATTTCTATTAGTACTGTGAATGGTGATTATATAAATGCTTTCTAACTCTTCTGTTCAGATGAATGTAGTTATTTAGTTGTTTCATACATAAATGTGCTTATTGTTGGTTGAAACTGAAGTTCCCTAGTCTCCTAAGTTTTCAGAAACCAGAAGACAAACCATCTTCTCTTTAAAAGGTGAATGAGAGTTATTGAGGCCTGAATCAGTATGTGTGGCAAGATGAATGACAGGCCCACCCAAGAGTGACACAGATTAGAACAATCCAGCCAAAGCTCAGTTCTTTATTTGCTCAAACCATAGAGACAGAATGTTGCCAAACTAAATATATATTTCTCTAACCCTAAGGGATATATCTTGGGAGATTCTAAGAAGTGGCTATCCTAAATCGTTTCCTCTTTCTCTGATTCATCTCTGGGCTGTGTTGTCTCAACTCCCCCCCCTTCCCCCAGAATGTGCCCCTTCCTTTCTGGGAAAGTGCCACTTCACTGTAGTTCATCACACCACCTCCCCTTTCATAGGCACATTCCATCACTCTAGGAGACTTACCCCAGTGACTTGTGACCTTTCCTGGCCCCTTCCTCGTTAGCTTTTGAGGAAGCCAGCAGCGAAGGTTGCAAATGATGATCTCGAGATCATAGAGGCTGCAACTGGTCGTAAGTGCAAACTGGTTTCCATCGCACTTGTCACAATCATGTGATGGCAGAAGTGCTGGGATGGCTGGAACGCCAAGGACATGTAATCACCATTCTTTTATCACCGTCATAACTTTGAATAGTCACTGAAGATATATGCTCATAGTTCAAGGACTACTATTATGTATAGAGAGAGGGAATGCCACAGGTTTTAGCTTCATCGATGGTTTGATTTGTCACTGATGACTTGGATGAAGTAGGGCACCTTGTAATATTTACAGTTTGTCTATATCCAGGCATTGATGAGGTTGTAACAATTATTACTACTAGTGTGACTAGAATATATTCTCCCAAAGCCGGAATATTTAGACTGACAACAAAAATTTCAATTTTTTAATGAACAATGTACACAACTCAGAAGTTAACACTGAGCACCATGTGCTTAACTGTAATTAAATATAAGTTTGTATACTGAGAGTAAGCCTACATAATGTAACATGAATAAATGTTTGATGATAAGAATTCACATTGCTTCACTGTAATATCTGACAGTAATACTTGAAGGTTTTAAAGTGTGGTAAATCAAATTTCACCATAACATTAAAATTGTCACTGTATCAGGCAATATGCAGTAATTTTGCATGTAGTCTATTGACTTAAGCAAAAAACTGATTATCTTTTTGTATATGTTCTCTTATCCCCTTTTCTTTTGTAACTATGCCTGTCTTCACTAGGCTACTATAATTGGAAGCCTTATAGGAGGCATATATGTAATTAAAACTGGATAATATTAAGACAAACTAATGACTTCACTAGACCCTGGTTTTTCTCGTGTAATTTATCCTCATTAAATGATGTACCAGATTATATTTATGCTTTAAGAATACAATTAAAATATTTTGGTAATCAGCATTTAAAAAGTTGATTTCTTCGAAACATTTCAGTTACAGTTACAGTAAGGATGCCCAGAAATTACTGCTAAATGTTAAATCCGAAATATATTTTGCACATCTGTAAAATACCTATCTACCATTTTGCATATGTGTAAAAATATGCATAGGGCCTTCTGATTGATTAAAGATGGCAAAATTCAATGTTATAACCTCCATCTTGTCCACTACTCCCTTCACTTGTTATGGACATAGCCAGGAGGAATAGACCTCTGCCAGCAAGGGAGCAGGAAAGATTGGGGACCTCCAGAAATCCCCGTCTAAACTGCCCTATCCCCACTGTACATGGAAGGAGGGACCTCCAATCTTCCCAGTGCCACCAGTGTCTCAATGGGGCAGATTCCGTTGGCCTACTGCTGCCACTAATCTTCTCACCAGCTCCATTCCCCATTTTTAACATCAATAAAGCTTAATTTAACAGACTTTGTTTTGTCTGTTGGATTCAATTAAATTGTGGTAAGTGGTATTATTGTACTATACTAAAATTGAATGTCAATGTTACTGTTTTATCTCACATAATAACAATTTTATTTTAAAATGTTGTTTTTGAAACAGCCTGGCGCAAGTTTGGAACAGACACACATTTTTGTACTTGCACATATTCTTAGAAGACCAATTATAGTTTATGGAGTTAAATATTATAAGAGTTTCCGGGGAGAAACTTTAGGATATACTCGTTTTCAAGGTAAGTATGATTTATAATACAAACAAGATTTTAATTTAAAATGTTGAAAAGATACTGGGAAAATCTATAATTTAAAAAATTTAAAGCAGTCTGTGTAATTTCTGTTTCTCATGTTTAAAATTCTACTATTTTTTATTAGTTTTATTCAATTTTTCTTTTTCTTAACTATATTCTTATTTTTTCTACTTTTTCCTTTTTTAGTTTGTATTAGTTTTTATTGCTGTAATTGTAATTTTTAATAAAATTGCTATTAACATACATTGGCAGGTTACATTAATTCTGATTCAGTGCAATAGAAACATTTAGAAATACTTCGGAGTATTTTGATCTTAACAGAAATATAAATAACTTGCTTCCCTGAAAATAAACTCTATCCGAAAAATAAGCCCTACATAACAGCCTGTGCAGCCGGCCACTCATCCATTTTCTGTGGTTTCTTGCAGTGCCATGGCCATGAGATGAGATGGGGTGGTGGTGGAGCTGTCCCATGCGCCCCACACTGGCTTATCTCAGGGCCTCCGCTGCCAGGCCATCCACGCTCGACACCTGCCTTGCAGCAGCAGCAGCAGCAACAGCAACCATGTACAGCAGGAGCCTACATGTCCGCCGGCCCACTTCTTCTGCTTGCTCGTGGCCACAACAGAGCAGGAGGCCGAGTTGTGTGTTGGTGATGCGACCGTGGGGCAGGTCTTGGGTTGTGGATGGACTGGCTGCGGGGCCCCTGAGGTCAGCCAGTGCGGGATGCGTGGGGCAGCTCTACCCTCCCACCTTGCCTCATGGCTGTGGCACAAGTGCGTCGCTCGGCCTCCTGCTTCGTTGCGGCCGCAAGCAAGCAGAAGAAGTGGGCTGGCGGCCACGAGGGTTCCTGCTGGATGGGGCTGCTGGAGCCATTGCCGTGACACAAGGCAGATGTTGGGATATGGGTGGCCTGGCTGCAGGGGCCCTGAGGTAAGCCAGTGTGGGGTGGGTGGGGCAGCTGCAGTCTCCCTGTCTCATGGCAGCAGCACTGGCATGCTGCATGGCCATCTGTCCGCTGCGAGCAAGCAGAAGAAGTGGGCCTCCCTTACATGGAAAAAAAATAAGACATCCCCTGAAAATGAGCCCTAGTGCTTATTTTGCGGCCCAAAAGAAAATAAGAGCTAGTCTTATTTTCGGGGAAACAGATAATTTCGGAGTTCAAGAATTTTCAAGGGGTTTGTATATGCTTCTCATAATGATCTATAGAAAGTATAATATTTAATATCAGAAATCTCGTTATAGCATTACAGTTTATCTTTAGAATACTACCACCTATAATTGTCTTTTGTGACTATTGTGAACGGTAGCTTAAAGGAATTTATGACATGAAATACAAGTCCCTAAGGGAAGTTTTACATGTACTTCTTTTTTTAAATAATGTAGTAACCTGACAATATAGTGTAAAGAAAGTTCTATATCATGTTTAGATTTAAGATTTATAACATCTTAACCTCTTTTTGTAGGAAAAGCACAATGTAAGAATTACTATCAATAATTAGGAATTTTAGATCTTTAATAATTAGAACTTTTACAGAAAGAATTACAATTATGGGTTCACTAAGTTGTGAAAAGCTTCACTGTGAAGTTGAGTAGAATTAAAGATGAGACAATCATTCTAAGTCATCAGATACATTTAAAATGTTGAAAGTACAATAGTTTTCGCTTACCGACAATAATCAGGCTTGGGAATTCCATTACTAAGCAATGTGTTTGTAAGGCACAGCATAACGTGACCACAGTGGCAGTTCTAACAGTTTTAGTTGCTCTTGTTAGGCAAATCCTGCATGGTTTGACCACGGGGACACTACAATGACTGCCACTGCAAGAGCTCATCAAAAGTACTTCTCTTTCGGTGCTGTTGTAACTTTGAATGATCACCGAATGAGTGGACATTAAAAAAGAACTCCCTGGATGTTCTGGTATTCACACAAAATGACTACATAATATACATAGATATAACCAGCCATTAGAATCAATCCTCCATTAGAAAAAGGACTGGAGTGTCGGAGTTTTTCCGAGCTGAGATAAAGAGAATTAACTGAAATCAAGAATTGAAACCGGTCTTGTATAAACTAATTGCTTATGGTTATCTGCATCTTAAAATTAAAGCCTACTAAATAATAAAAATATTGTATGTCTACAGAATATTGAAAATAGTTTGTGAATTCTTGGCCACATCTTTGTCACATTTTGTTTGCACTTACAATTTCACTTAAATTATTCAATTCGAGATGATACCAAGTCTTGATTTGGGTCATCATGCCTTACAACCATTGCCTGAGAATTATACCCTTTGCCGGTAGCAGAACCTAAATTATTGCCTGTTCTTTAACACCTTGTTTCCTGCAGCACATTTTGACGTTTACTAGTAAACCAATAAGTGCAAAGAAGGGACAACAATGGGAATTAGATAAATTTAGAAGGATAAAACAGTCAGTTGCTGTTAGTCTTGATAAGTACATGCTACCTCCAGGACCAGTGATTGAAATAGGAGACAGTAGCAGAAGCTTGAGTTCTCATAATCATCTTGTGAGCTAACCATTGGCATCTGATTCAACAAAGAATGATCTGTGGGTCTGATGAACATCACTTTATGCTAATATGGCAGCTCTTTAGGATCCTCTTTCACTTTATGAGTTTAAAATGAGAAGACACGGAAAGTCCCAAGACAAGCTCAAGTATCTTCTTAGATTTCTGGGAAAGTGAGAACACATAACAGGACTGCTATAGAAGTTGCAGTTAGAACAATGTAATTGTTTTGTTTTGATGAAATACATTGATATGTTGCTACTGTCTCTGCTCTTGGATGTATTCTGAGCCTCTGTGAAATTATAGAGAGGCTGAACAGAAACATAGACTTTTAATTGAGTTCTCTTTATCTAGTTTTAGGACTTGTCTGGAGAAGAGATCATATTTTAGATTGTATTTATGCAGAAATGTTAAAAACTCAAAACTTTTAAGCAGCACGGTACTTGTAGTATTCCAGTTTCTAAATTTTCTCATGGCAGGGCATGCTCCTGCTTTAGTTGTTTGGTTGAAGTTTTGAATATCTTTAAAGTTCCTCAAATGAGAGTGTTGGAGGGAGATTCCATCATGTGTGTTAAAAGCTGTGAAAACTGGATTATCACTGAATAATTAAAATATAGTTTATTCACTATGTTAAACGTAACATGTTAATACTTTAAAAGGGTAAAACTTCAGTTGGAATTGTTTCAGTTACCATGGGAATTCCTTTAGAAATAACTATAGCTATTTTGGGGATTGCATGATAGTATTTATAGTACAGGTATTTCTTGGTTTATGTCTGAAATTGAGTCCAGAATGAGGGTCCTAGGTTGAAGCATCAGCTGACTGGATCTAAAGTTATAATCTGTTTTTATGATGGTTGTTAAACAAATCCATTTTGGTTAACCCTGGAAACTGACAAAAAAGGTTACAAATCATGGTCACATGACTGCAGGATGCTGCAAATGGCCGTTAAGGTGGATCAGTTGCCAAATGCCCAAAATGCAATTATGCGACAATATGGATGTATATGGCCTTTGTAACTCTGAAAATGGATCATAACTGGGGATGTGTGTCAAATGGCTGTTAAACAATTGGTAATAAATGGAAGACTACCTGTAGACTCAATTATTAGAATATATTTGCAACTTTTTACATCCATTAATTGATAAAGACTCAGCTTTCTACTGAAAGGTACATTAAAGGCTTATGTTCGTTGTCATGCTTTAGATAAAAATCTTCACCAAAAACAATACAGCAAGTTCATTTACCTTTGGACCTTCCTTTTTTCATAGGTGTATATTTGCCTTTGTTATGGGAACAGAGCTTTTGTTGGAAGAGCCCGATTGCTCTGGGCTACACAAGGGGCCATTTCTCTGCTTTGGTTGCCATGGAGAACGATGGCTATGGCAATCGAGGTGCTGGTGCTAACTTGAACACTGATGATGATGTTACTATTACTTTTTTACCGTTGGTTGACAGTGAAAGGAAGCTGCTGCACATTCACTTCCTGTCTGCTCAAGAGGTAAGAAATGCTTCTTAATTATGGTTACAGCAGAGATGTTCCTCAAGTATTAGATGAGAAAAAATTAAAGTCCCAAGAATATGCATAATTATAGATAGCATGCAGGAGATATATTGACCGCCAAATTTTACTTTATACTGAGGTCTTTATGAATGAGAGATGTTTTTTAAAAACAGCTATAACAATTAAACTTTTGAGGAAAAAGCAACAACGAGATAGTTTAGGGCCCTCTTAATGAACCATTTTATAACTAAAAATACAGAATGACAGTGCCTGCAAAAGATAAGCCAACTTTCTAATAACATTTAACAATACCATTGTACTAGGAATGAAACCTTAAAGTAGCAATTAAAAATGTGGATTTTTATTTGATGCATATCTGGTGCATGATCACAGATAACTTGTCTTTCATAACTTGGCCTGTGAAACAGAACTGTTAGATTTCTTCAACCTTAGCTTACAGAATTTTTTTTTAAAAATTGGGGATTAGGCAATAAATCGTCATGGAGGAAATCTATTTATGTGGCTACTAGAAGTTGCAAGCGACTTGGTGGTAAATAATTAATTCCAGTTAGGAATTGGCTAGTCGATTTTTGAATTGGCCATAGCAAGTGTTACACAACACTTGTCTCTTTCAGTTGGCAGTATTCTAAACTGACCATGTTGTCTGTATTTTTTCCTGCGAAGATTGGTAATGAGGAACAGCAAGAGAAGCTGCTTAGGGAATGGCTGGACTGTTGCGTGACAGAAGGTGGAGTCCTGGTTGCTATGCAGAAAAGCTCTCGCCGGCGTAACCATCCCCTGGTAACGCAGATGGTAGAGAAATGGCTGGACCGCTATAGACAAATCCGCCCCTGTACATCCCTTTCAGATGGAGAGGAAGATGAAGACGATGATGATGAATGAATGAAAAAAAAAAGATACCAGCTGCATATAGTGTATGGTGACAACCCCAGCTCTTGGAGCAGTCTAGCAAATTGTTGCATGGTGCCCCAATTGTAGCAGGGAACATCCTGCGTAGGATTTTGAGTGGGCATGGGAAGAATTCAGAGACTCATCTGATGCAAGAAGGAAGTATGTTGGTTGGACTCATTTGTAAACAAGAAAAAGAAAGCAAAGCCCTAATTTTATTACCAAGACAGAAAGCATTTTTCCGGTTGTACATCTGCCCTTAATTATACCACATATGGTTGTGTAAGAAGGTTGAGTAATAGGAAAAAAGTGTAACCAGCATCTTACAATTATTGAAGGAAATTCTTTTGAATAAGGGCACTTAAAAGCACATTGTTGATTAATATCTGTTCCTTTTGAGACTTACAGTAAAATTTGATTATTTTGCATCTCTTTTTAAGCATTCTGACATATTTCCTTGAAATAACATTTTATATGAAATCTTGCTAATGCCCAGATCAGATCATCAGATCATGTGGCTATTTTTTCCTTTCTTTTTTTTGTTGATGCCATATAACCAGAGTAACTCATACGTGTTAAAAATGTATTGTTCTGTTAAATTTAATATTGTGCCCATTACAGTATAATAAAATGAAATTTTAAAGGGAAAACATATGGAAGGGATGATAAATCTTGACTTAAGTGAACTGTTTTCTGTAAAGACTTCTCTAGTATCCATTACTACTTTGTATCACAACTTTGGAATAGTTTCCCCCCCCTTTCAGGCTACTTAAAATAGTTTTTAAAAAAATGCTGTTCCAGGGAACTTTATGCTAAACAATTGTGTGGAGTTTGTAAAACTGAACTGCATTTTGTCCAATCCCGGTCTTGCTGTGAGTTGTACTATAGAAATTAATATTTTATCAAGCCTTTCCCCATGCAAGTTAAAATTGCTTCCACTGAGGAGCATTCCTTGGTCATTAAAATTGAGTGAGAAAGCACTTTGACTGTTTTCCTTAAAAGCCTTCATTCTAAAGTTTGTTGGGAAATCCTGTGTACTATTTTTCCTTAAAATGTAACCTTCAGAATTCTGTGCATGTTGACTGATTGTGGCCACATCTGAACTTGTAAGCTTCCTGAACTGTGAGTTCAGAATATATTCTCTGGAAAAAAAACAAACCACTTTTTATTATACTTGATTACCTTAGCTATGCTGTATTGAATGGATCTAGCCCTACCCAAAAACTCACTGTAAGAACACTAAAGGTTCAATAGTTTTGTATGCAAAATGTAGATCCTGATAAGCACTTTTTAAAGACCAATGATGGTGGAAATGATGACATGGAACCTGTTATAAGATGGAATCCTTGGTTTAAGAATCTGAACAGAAACTGTACCGTTTTTAAACGGATGTAAAAACATAGGAGCCATTCTGAATTAATTGCTTTTTAAAATGGTACATTTCAAGCAATTGAAAGTTAAACAAAAATTTCTCAAAATAATTCTACTGACAAATAAACAATGACATTTTATCAAGGTACTGTGTTGAAACATATCAATACATTTTTTTCACTCTTATAGAAGCTTGTTAATGTTTTACACAAAGAAAATCACATTGACCTGTGATAAATTTACAGAGCAGTAGAATCATTGGATTTCTTTTCCTACAACAGGTTGTGCTTTGATATATTCCTTTTTAAAGTTTTCCTAAAGACAGTTAAAAGGGGTATAGTTTAATACCTGTCCTCTGCTTGCTCTACATTCTTTCCTATAAAATTCCTGCATTCCTGAACTAATAGAATAAATTAGGTGATTATGCTTGAATAGAATGAAGAAAATTGAAATGTTGCAAGTTATGCTCCAAATCTGAGTTACTTCTCAATTCTACCAGCAATTTCCTGCAATGAGATATGGCCTTCTTGAATATAAATATTATTTTATTTTCCTTTGCCCTATTAATAAGAGGAGAAAATGTTTAGCCGTATTTAACTAAGGCTTTAGGCATTTTCTTGAATAAAGGCATTTGGCTGCTAGTAGGGATAAAAAAAATCAGCAATATACATTTTATTTTCATGTTATACAGCTATACAAGCAGCAATATACATATTATATAGTCACAGTACATCCTTATGAGGCTCAGCAGAAGTCAGTGGTTTTATAGATTGTAATTCCGATTGCTCTTACAGTACAGCAGCAGTTATTAATTCGATTATAGCTGTGCCTTGAAACACTAATTGCAATAGTACGTAGGCCTGTCATCTGATGTATAATTTTTGGGAAGGATTACATTTTTAAAAACAAACTTGGAGGTATTCTGACATATCCCTGCTTTAAAACTAGAGGTCAGACATCAGTTTGATTTTCTTTTTAAGTTGTAAAGTCTCCCTACAGTCCAAATTAAACTGAATATTTTGCTGTCCTATTTTTTTGAATTGTGTTTTTTTTAACCTTTAAATACCTAAATTGTTTATCCTATTCAGATATTTTGTTCTATGTCTTGTTTCAAAGCCTGTTCTCTTGAAAAGAAAAACCACCTCACCACTTCTATGGTTAGCATCAAAATGATTTGCCATCTCCACCATTTTGTATGGTAATTATTTTTCCCCCAAAGCCGTGTTCTATTGTAGTGGATTATGCTTTCTTAATTACACCAGTATTTTATAAATTCTTTTAGCGGCATGCCTCTTCTCTATCATTTAACTTAGATTTAGCTTAGTAAGATAACTTTTACAATGGCAACTGGTATAAAAATTTCAGCACAAAGTTTCCTCTAAGTATCTATCTGATTTTAAGTGGGGAGTTTTCCCTTCAAATTAGTAACTGGAAGTAATACAAAATTAATGTCTCTATTAAGCACATTTACTAATGGTAGAACATCCCACAACAAATATGATTGGCTTATTCAAGTATTTTTCATGAATGCTAATTATGCCTATTTGGAATGCTACTTCCTGGTTTAAGAAAAGTTCCAAGAATAGCAGCTTCTAAAAATTCACTAATGCCAGTGTAAACGTTTTGTTACTTCACCTTCATTTGTGTGACTTCCTAAAATGTTCTCTGTAATTCATCAATGTTTCTTCTCCTGGTTGCTCTATTCTGGTATCTATGGTAAGTTGCACATATTTGCAGTGTTAGATCATTGACACATTTATGAAGTTGAATCCCTTGAATGTGTTCAAGCTGGTAATGTGCTTTTCCATCAATTCAAAACAAAATATAAGTTTTGTACCAATGATCTGTTTTCGATTTCTGCTTCCATAGCTTATTTTGTGTGTGTCCCCCGTTCCTTTTAAGCCTTCTCAAATCACATTAAAAGTTCACTGACAAGCTAATTTTAGTATCAGATATCTTAATGGCCACAAATATTTGTATATTTTCATGACTGAAGTCCTATGGATTGTAAATTTAGTTTTGTGATTTATACTGAATTTATACTGACTCCTGCTTGGACCAATTTTCTTTTTCTTTTGTATGTTGCCCCAGACCAGGGGTGTCAAACTTGCAACGACACATCACGTGACATATCACAACTTCTCCCCCTTTGCTAAAATGGGGGTGGGCGTGGCCAGCGCGTGATGCATCCAGCCCGTGAGTTTGTCACCCCTGCCGCAGACCAAAGCTTTTGCTATGGAAAGGGCAGTTTTTGAGCAACTTTATCTTTTCTCCTTTCAAACGTAAGCTCCTTTCCAACATCAGTATAGGCTTTTGGAAGAATATTGACTAGTAATTATCAAAATTTTAACATATACAAAGTATTTTAGTCATTGCAATCATTACTACAGTTCTTCAGGATGGTCCTTTAGTGAGTTTGTGGCTCATGAAATACAAATATTCTTTTCATACTGATAACAGCATGATAGACTGGTTGCAAAGTAGCTGTTAATTATCCATAAGATTATTACGGGACACTTGGCGTGAAGCAGATTGATGCTGACCAGTATAAAATGTCATTTACCTCACCTGTTAATTCCATAAAGTTTAACAGTAATAGAGCTTCTAAGATTGCATGTAGAGCAAGAGCAGTCTTTTTGCTTAGAATGCTTTGCTCTTGGAATATCTTGTATTCAGACACATTATATTTCTCCCACTATATAATATGTTCTGCTGTGATGAGGAAAAGACTGCACAGAAGGAACACTTTCTCCATGTTATCCGGGGAGTTACAAATGATGCTTGATCAGGATCCTCAGAGCAGTGCTGGTGTAGTGGTTAGAATTCAGTACTTGCAGGGCTAAGTCACTGCTCACTCCAGGAGTTCGATTCTGAGAGGCTCAAGGGTGACTCAGCCTTCCAGTAAAATGACCCAGATTGTTTGGGGCAATATACTGACACTAAACCACTTAGAGAGGTAAAGCACTGTGAAGCAGTATGCAAGTCTTAAGTGCTATTGCTAACCTTGTCAACTCTCACCCAAATACTAAGGATTCTCAGATTCTAGGTATACTGACTTCTGGGGTGAGGCACGTTTGAGAAATTCAAAGTCACCATTCAGTTTTATCCTAGATGTTCCATAGTCTATGAAGGATGAAAGTTTTTAATCCTGTGGATTCTGTAATGTTCTCAATTAGAATTGGTTCAAGAACATTGAGGGCCTGGTCCAACTGAAATTATAGAAATTGTCACTTTTTATTGAAAACTGCACTGAACGCTATATGTCCACCTTTACAATAAACAAATACAGTAACGGTAATACACTAAAACAAAACATTTCTGGTAGCCATTGGTTCTGGTTTTGTTTTGTTTGGGACAGCTTTTAAAACTTTTATCACAGAAACAGAATGTACCCATACAAAGGCTCAGAATAAGCCATCTTTTTCAACAAAAAGGTGATGTTTCACAAAAGACTATGAATATAACATGTAACTAGTTGATACAAATCTAATAGGATTTGTTAAAATCAGTCACATCTAATAACACATTTTGAAGTGTTCTTGTATAAAATACCACATGAAGAAAAGAAGACTTCAATGTCTAAAAAAGTGGGTTTTGTTCATACAGTCTGACAAGTTACCATAAAAAGTGTTTTTTTTCCTGAGACATAAGGAAATGCAACATTCTTGAATCCTTTCCAGCTCAAGACTTTTCCACTCAATAAAATAGCTGTGGATTTAAAACTGAGAAAAATATATTTGAATATAAATGTGAGACTTAACACTTTTTTTGCATCATCAACATGTGTTATTGAACTTACAGCTACTTTATTAAGTGTATCTTGTAGGAGAAGCATCAAGTTCTGTGAAAAAGGCAGTAAGTTAACGTAGGCCTTTTCCCCTCTCCAAACTATATAACTGTAATTAAACTTGAGTAGCATCCCTCCAGTAAATTAGTGGCTACAGATAACTGTAACAAGCAAAACTCTCTCCCCGTGTGTGGGTCATCTTTCCTCAAGGTGTAGAAAGAGAAGCCAGGTGATTGAGTAAGGAAAGGGCTGAAGTCACAGGATGGCGTCCTCTCTATTATCATGTAAGCTTTGTTAGGGCTGTTAGATATGTTCTAAGTAATAGATACTTCAATCAGCTGTTTTTCCCCAAAGGGACATAGAAGGTACATATATTATTCTTGTGATTGATGTAAAGATGAAAGAACTTAAATACACAATAACAGAAGCTGATCAGTAATGTTATCAAATCCTAGTTTTCAGTGCTTCAGTAAGCAGATGACTTCTTCTGTTTTCCCCCTCCCTCCCTTAAGTCTTGACTCCTATCTTTTAATTTTTGTGGTTGTCGTCGTCGTTAACACTGGAACATCGTGATGCATCTGTCCAAAATGAACCTTACAAATTTTGTATCAAATTCCTTTCAGTTTGTCATTTTCTTTTCCAATGTCTCTTGGTCCCAAATTGGAGTGCTTTAAATTGTCTGCTATTGCTCATTTGGATGTTCCCTGTTATCCCCATGTTTTGAGGGCTGGTTGGGAGATGGAGCTTGAGAAGGGTGTGCCACAGTTGGAAGATTATGGGTAACTGGAATCCCTCCTGGAATGATACCTTCCATAGCTGCTGGGATTCCACCTGGAGTAACACTCATCATTCCTGGTGGATATCTAGAAAGAAATGAATTTAATTAGACGAAAATTAATGCAAACGTATTCTATAGAAAAAGCAATGGTCTAATGGCCAAGGGGTTGGGGAATCCTCTAGGAAAACTATTTTCCTAATAAATTCAGTAATAACATCTATTTCAATCCTTCAAGATAGCTCTTACAAAAATGGTTTTATTCTATTTCTTTACTCATGTTATTTTAGAAGCCTGTGCAAACAGCCAGAATATATATCCCAGCAGTTGGAGAAGTAAATCTTATTTGAACCCAAAGTCCTCTTGCTTTTTTGCATCTCTTTTCAAAAGATAACAGGACAGAAACAGAGGCCAAATTTTTCTATTGGAAGAAAAAATAAAAGAATGGAAAGTGAGATTTTATGCAATGGGTGAATAGTCTTCTCTTTCAGGAAACACTTCAAGGAATATAAAGGGAGAATCTAGCTTAATTTTGAATTATCTAGATGAGATGGGCGACACATTAACCTAATAAAAAATAAATAAATGTAACAATGCTTAGTTAACTCTTATTTTAGAAATTAATTAAAAAATAATGGTCTAAAATTGCATATTTTAAAATTGATTGAATGTGTACATTTATACAGTTCATAAAGTTACAAATAATTGTTAACAAAATTAATACTAGTGGATAATGTTGCTTCAAATTTATTTCCAGTATAATCAAAATAAGAAAGCCAGTTTGGTCTAATGGTTCAAGGCTCTGGAATGAGAACAGGGAAAGTGAAGTCCTAGTATTCCTTAGCCAAAAAAGCCAGCTTGATCTCTCTCAACTGGAGTGAGAGAAATTGAAAAACATCTTAAAAGATGGTTCTGGCAAACCTCTTCTGAAAAAATGTTGCCAAGAAAACTACATTAACCTGTTGGTTCAGTCACCTTGAATCAAGATTGACTTGAACAATCATAACAATGTAATCAAAATGGTTGCCGACCTTTTCAAAACATCTACAGGCAATCCTTGACTTGGGGTCATTCAGCGATCATTCAAAGGCTCTGAGTGAATGGTGATTACAACCAGTCCTTGGACTTCAGACAATCCCAGAATTTATGACTAGTTGAGTGACATGAGATTTACATGATCAGCATTTGCAACCTTCCCTGAGGGCTTCCCTGGAAAGTCAATGTGGAAGCCAGCAGAGAAAGTTGCAAGTTGCAGGATAAGTGTTCCCTACCCATGCCTTCTCTCAGCCTCTTTGTGCTTGTGCCACACTAGCCACTTGTGCATTCCTCATACTCTCCCTGACTCACACTTCTTGCACACTCCCTGCCCAACCTGTGTCATGACCTCATGCACTCTCTCTGACCTATGCCTCTCATGCAATCCTTCATTCCTCTCCAACCTGCATCTTTTGTGCACCTCCTTCACCTCCTCAATCCACACTACACCCTTGTGCCGCCTCCATGACTTGCACCTCTTGGGCACCATCTTGCACCCTCCCCAACTCTTGCCACACCTTCTCTGCATCTCTTTGAATTCCCTTGCCCCGTCCCTGCCTGCTGACCTGGGACTTGCAACTTCCTGCTGGCTTCCCCATTGACTTTGGTTGTGGGAAGCTGGGAAGAAATTGTCTTATCTAACAACTGTGGGAGTCTGGTAACAATGGCAATTGGGACTGTAATTTCCATCACTAAGCAATGTATTCAGTCAAGTGTGATGCCACGTGATTGTATGATCACTATAGCAGTGGTAGTCGCAGCAGTTCCAGTGCTATCATAACTCCAGGACCACCCAGTTCATTGATCAAGGCCGTCAGGTGACTATGACATGGGAAGCAGTGAAGTCCCAGGCAAACAGATGGGTGACAGCTAGGGGTGGGGGCAAGTGCTATGGAACACAAACCAGGTACATGGATAAGTGCTATGGAGTAGATACTGGAGTGTGTATGGAGTGTATGTGGCTGCCAGGGGTGAGGAAAAAAGCAGCAGGACTGGCAGTTACTTGTAATCTTCTCCTAGCTTTACTTGTGGGAAACCGGCAGAAAAAGTTTCACATCTGCAAGCCATTTGCCATGCACCCAAATCATGATCATATGACCATGAGGCTGCTGCAATGGTTACAACTTCATGGATTAGACATATATCCTTCTTCTTCATCATCATCGTAATTTAGAATGCTTGCTGAATGAGGGTTCACAGGGGAACCCTATCTGTATTATGTAATTGTTTGCAAAATATAGATTACTAAGTGGCTTGTATAAATCTTTATGGAACGCCCAAAGATTTTAATTTTTTTGTACTGAAAATGGACCAGAGGATAGTTTCTAGGGTCTGTAATTTAAGTTTGGATCCATCTTGCATTGGAATCAAACCTCTTAGACAAAAAACCAAATCCCCATTTTCAAACATTATGCACCTATGCACATACACATAGTGTGTGTGAGTGAACATCCATGTTCTTTTGTATCGTTTTCTATTATATCTAAAGTATACTATAGTTTCCTGGATCTATACGGATAATTGAAAAATAAAATCATACAGAGCTAGTTTTGAAAGACTGAGACTTTATAATTTATTTTCTCTAATAAAAGGTTCTGCTCTCAGTTTACTTGCGAAAGAAGGAAATTTAATAGAATCACAGAGTTGTAAAAAGCTATTCTGGCCATCAAATTCAACTGCCATTCCATGGAAGAATCTGAATTAAATCATCCAGGACGGACAACTGCCTAACCTTTCCTTAAACAAATCCTCTTAAGATTCTATTATATCGAACTGTTCTTGGCTTAGAAATTTTTGCCCCCAACATTTAACTAGAAACTGCACAATGTAACTTCAATCTGTTATTACATATTGTGCCTTGCGAAATAATAAGGGACAGACCTTGGTCTTCTGTGTCACATCTTTTTTGTTACTTGAAGGCTACTATTGTATTTTCCAGACTGTTTTCTCTGAGTCAAAAGCTTCCCACTCCCCCTGCCAGTTCCTATTAATAACAATGAAGAAAAAGAAACTACAGAGGAGCAATGGAAATCTTCCTTATTCCCTAGTTATTCCCTAAAGTTTGCCTACAGATTATATTTCAAGACTATTTCATAGCAACAGTTATGTGGATTAGGAGTGGACGTCTCTGATAAATGAAAACTGATGCATTGCTTCAGCTGAATGTTCCTATCTCAAACCAGCAAGACATCTAGTGGAGAGGATGGTGGCCCATAAAGATGAATATATTATTATAAGAATTGTCTTTTATTCATTAAAATTTTATCACCTTGGCAAAATAGGTGCATTTACATCTGATTATATCAGTAATGGTGAGCAAGATAGGGCCATTCCAAAATTGTTGGATTACATTGCCCTCATCCCTCAACCCCACTGTTCAAGTTCTACTCTACTGGAATACTGTTCCATACAGGGTTATAATGAGCATGATAGTATAAGCAAGCCAAGTTATACCGAATATATTTTATATATTTGAAGCAATACACCAGTTCTAAAATTGTAAATGGCAAAAAATGTTGACATTTCTAGACTTTTGAGTTAAATATTACTAGTTGCTATTTGTAAGTATATATGTCTTGGGTCTCTCTTAAGTTCTGCGTGTTCAAAGTTATTTGAATGATCTAGTGAAAAAAGTTTTAACTGAATAAATTGGTATTCAAATCACGGAAAGCCTTTCATGAAATATAAAGCAGAGATGAACAATAGTTTCTAGCCCAAGTCATTATGACATGATTTCAAAAGAACATTTCTTTGGTTGTTGAACTTTGGGGACCTGGCAAACACTTTAATGCCAAGGTTGTGTCTTTAATGCTTTTATGATAGGGACGCAGAGCAAGATTTTAATGAAAATAATCTCTCAGAACTGTCTACCACTTCTTGATTAGATTACAATAATAAGCATCCTCTGTGGATGCATGTTCTAAAACACCAAAGCTGAAGGATTACTACCACCCACTCAGAAATCTTAGATTTTGAGTAACTCCTTCTTCAAGGCACTTTGTTTAACAGACAGAATTACCAAGAAAGAAAGAAAGAAAGAAAGAAAGAAAGAAAGAAAGAAAGAAAGAAAGAAAGAAAGAAAGAGAGAGAAAGAGAGAGAGAGAGAGAGAGAGAAAGAAAGAAAGAAAGAAAGAGAAAGAAAGAAAGAAAGAAAAATTCTTTTATCTTACCTGTATGTGGCACCATTGAGCTCTGGATGAATTGCTTGCTGATCTATTACTGACCAAGGAGCAGTTGTGACAAAAAATTCCTTGTTCACACAATTCCGTAGGCTTTCGGGGATGCGACCTGGAATCAGAATAATTAGAATTTTAAGAGTCTTACTGCTATTATGTAGCACACTATACCAAACATTCTGTTTTTCCACAATCCGTTAATTGGGGGCTGGGGGAATATTCTTCCCAACTCCATTCCAATTTGGGATGGTGTTCAAAACAAAGGAAGCTAGTGGAAGTTGCCTGAAGGTGAAACAGTAGGCAACATGGTGTGTTTGCTTGTTTAATATAATTGCCAAGAATCACACTGAGTGTTTTAAAGGGTTAGAATTTAAAATTCTCCATCCCTTTGCTCTGCTGCTGTTTTATAAGCCCCGTTGGAGCACATAGTTTCTACTTGCTCTCAGGCTTTCCTGGAAAAAGCAGCTGTTGGAAGAGATGCTATCTCATGTACCTTATTAGCCAAGTAATTGATAGGGGAATGGCAAATTCATACATGGTGTAAAAGTGGCTAACAAAATATTAATTCTCTGATTGATCAAAATGGGATGTCCTTTCCACCTGCCAAAAAATATTCAGCCTCCATTCCATGAAAGTGGAGATAATATCCTCGCTTGAATACTCTTACTATACTGATAGACATGATGATCAAGTCTTATTCTAATATTGGACCTCGTTTGGTATCTATCATGCTGCCAAAACCTGGTTTAAAACAAAAACAAAAACAAAACCAGAGCCACCCCTCCCCAGGGCTAAAAATGTCACCTATACCCCTCAACTGTCCTGGAAACTCAGAGACCGATTTCTAATCCCAAACAAAAGAATGCAGCAGAAATATTCAGGCAAGGATGTTTTCTGTTTCAGGAGGTTTTCAGGATCAGAAACATTTGCATATAATATTCAGCCCAGACATAGGGAAGCCCTCCAGGGGGGCACCAAACCTCGTCCAGAGCAAAGCACATTAGGGTACCTGTGATCGCTCGACGTATCTCTGTTGCAGCTGCTTCTCTCATCTCCAGTGACGCCTGTTCACTGTACCAAGCAGTATGTGGAGTACAAATTAAATTGGGCGCATCTTTCAGGGGCCCTTGAGCAAAGCTACAAAAACATTTTAGAGACAAGATTTTTTTTTTAAAAAAAAGTTCTGAATGAAATCCCACCAGAGAATCCTGTTTCACTATTTCTTTGCTTTCCTTCAATAATGGGTGATGGATGGAAACCAGAAGTCTTGTTCCAGTTTAACCACTATCTCAAAAAAATGGGCTGATATAAAAATAATTTTATAATGCTTTCCAAGCATAATAAATGACAAGGTTTGACAAATTCCCCAAGGAAAATGATTTCTAATTCAAGTTTGTAGGACTTGGGGCAGACTAAGATGTTAGATGCAATCAAATTGTATATGACAGGGACGCCAGATGTGTTTTATTCATATGTCTGCCCAAATACATGAAATCTAAGTGAGTGTTGCAATTTTCTTCTAACTGGTATGGAAAAATCTATTAGAATAGAAAGAGGGCAGGAAAGTAAGTTATGGAGGACAATGGTCTCAACCCTCTCCTTTAAGTACCTCAGTGTAGCAATGGAGTACATTGTTGTATTATCATTTGCTCTTTTGGAATTCAGCAGGACATAAAATCTGGTATTAAAGCTAGTTTTCAAAATAATAATTGATTGTGAGAGAAAAAGGGATTTATTACAACAGGGAAGTAAATACCTTATTTATTTAAAATAATCAATTTTTGCAAAGTCTTTCATCAGGTTTGTCCTGTTTAAATACAAGTTTATATTCAAGCCACCTATATATAAACAAACAACAAACGCCACTCCCTTCTAGTATTTTTTTTTTTTAATTTGATTTATATGCCACCCTTCTCCGAAGACTCAGGGCGGCTTACAATGTGCTCAGCAATAGCCTTCATCCTTTTGTATATATTTATACAAAGTCAGCTTATTGCCCCCACAAACTGGGTCCTCATTTCACCTACCTTAGAAAGGATGGAAGGCTGAGTCAACCTTGAGCCTTGGCGAGATTCGAACCCTGCAGTAATTGCAGGCAGCTGGTCTTAATAACCAGCTTAATAACAGGGTGCCTTAAACCCCTGTATTGAAGATGTTATCTAGTTGGGTAATGAAACATCTGCAGGAAAACAACCAAGCTCAGAGAGTTCAAAGGATCCCCACAACTTAATGTTCATTAACCTCTAATTGAAATTTAGCTTTTGGTTCAGTAATGTATATGGACAATAAAGTAATTTATGGCCTCTGGACTCCAAAAATCATTTGACATTTATTTTTATTTCACAAGCAAATTATACCGTCGGTCAAACAATGTTGACTGGCGACCCCCAGGGGGAGAGCCTTCTCTGTGGGGGCACCTGCCCTCTGGAATGAACTGCCCCCGGAGATTCGTATGATCCCTGACCTTTCGCCATGCCCTTAAGACTCTACTGTTTCAACAGGCTGGGCTGGCTTAAGAATGGATTTTAATGGGTGTTTTAGTTTTTAATATAGGGCCAAATCATTTAATATGTTTTAAACTGTTTTTTAAATTTTATAGATACACATGTTTTAGTATGGCTGTGCACCGCCCTGAGTCCCTCGGGAGAAGGGCGGTATAAAAATGTAAATAAATAAATAAATAAATAAATAATAAACTTCCAAACACTGTCAAATATATTTTGAATTATTTGTCAATACTCATATATGGTCTCAGACAGAAAACCAGTGTTTTTTCCAATCATGGCTGGTGAGGCAGTCTGCTTGGTGAAATTATGAAGGAAGAGATCTTTAAATGTTGTAGAGGTTGAAATTGAAATCCACCTTCCTAACACAATTAATTAATTAATTAATTAATTAATTAATTCAACAAATATATATGGCTGTCCATCTATCAATGGAAATGTCAGCTACTTGAAAAGCTGACATCATCAAGGATATCTAGTTGATCAGCAACCGTGTTTGCCTAATACTCAATTAAGTGATTCTAAGCTCCATTGCAATGTTTTCCCCTATGACTGGATTCTGTGTTTAAGTTACTTGTAGAATTATTGATGTTGGATTGATTTTATATTGCTAATACTATTATGGTTTTAGACAATGCTTCTGTTGTTTGCCCTACAATATGAAACCGATTATCAGAATTATTCTCAGCAGAAGGACAGGAACAGAGCCTCAACATAAGGCTATTGAAATATCATCAAACTCTGGATAACTTCAAAACATTTTATTGGGGGAGGGGAGGTCTCCTCCAGCTTTCTATAATTTAATGCATTTATCCACATAAAATATGAAGCCATTAATCATAATACCTTTTACATTTTCAATTTAGAAATGTCGTCCATAATTCATAGGTTTATGGCAACACTTGGATCTTCCTTGAAGTAGCACTGCATATTATCTTATTTCAAATAATAGCATGTGGATAATATGGTTCTTTCAATAATCATATATTTTCCGGAACTGAATCCAATACCTCACAGAGTCTAACTAAGCAGATGGCCGGATTCCATGCAGAAGTGATACTTTTGTTCCTGAAGCTATGGGGAGTCACAAATCACTGACCTTTGCCACTGATGACTACTTGTTTTCCTGCTTGGAAAGAGCTGCAATTCTAATAGAGAGGGGCACTTTTCACTTAAAAATGCAAGCTTGCGCCATAATACCAATGTTCTGCTTAAAGGAACACCTTTTCTTTTTGCTGAAAGGGACTACAATAGATTCCTCACAGAAAATCCTGAAGAGTTCAGGAGAGACAATTAGGTGTACAGGAAATGCAACTTTTACAGCTAACTCAGTCCATTAGCAAAGCCAATTATGGCCCCAGTTTTTGCAGCTCAATAACAGGCTCCTGTTGATCTTTAAAACTTTTCAGCAGGTTTCTAAAATTTTTATGAAGTTTTATTTTTGAAAGTTAATGTTTCTCATCTCGCTAAGGACAATTTTTTGTCTCTATGGCATTTCAAGGTTATCTGCTTGAATACTTCAGCAGGATTTCTCAATTTTAGCAACTTTAAGATGCGGACTTCAACTCCCACATCTTAAAGTTGCTAAGGTTGAGAAACTCTGGCTTAAACCATGGGTAAGGAATCCAGAGGTTATGTTTCCATGCCCCGGCACTCTGGGAATTTGATGGCTCTCTTTTTTTTTTCCCTGCAAAGGAAATGTTGATGTGGGTATATGGATAGGTGGCATCCAGTATAAACTGTTTCCATCCTCTCCGTTGAAGTACAGTATCATTCCAGAAGCAAAACATTTAGTCAAAAATTCAGCTCTAAACCTTCTAATGAGATCAAAGCCTTTTATAAATGGCCTTCTGAGTTGTTCCAAAGTTCTGAAGGCAAAGTTGTGGCCCCCAATTCTTTAAATGTTGCCCAAATCAGGCAGGCTACAATACAAGGTCTTCTAATACTTACCTAAATGGTTCTGATTCGTGGACATCCAGTGCTGCCCCTCGTATCCTTCCTTCCTTCAGAGCTTGGGTTAAGGCCTTTTCATCCACCAGACCACCCCGTGCTGTGTTTACCAAAAAAGCTCCTTGTCTCATCTGAGAGGAAACGAGAAGAAAGAAAAAGAGCTGAAGAAGCTTTTTGGATGAAAAGCGAAACATCTTCAAAAAAAATCCAGAAAATCCAGTTGCCTCTTGAAAAAGCACCTATGGGACAACCATGACCTGGATGACTGAGAATCTCCACAGACAAAGAAAGAAAAGATCATTCCACAGTTTATAAAGATTTTCTTCTAGGTTTCTCACTCTACTATAAGAGCATTAATATCTACTCCCATGGTAAAATCTGTTCTGAAACCATTCAGGATCATAAAATGAAGGAGCTGGTGTCTATAAGTAAATGTTGGACAACTGTAATTTATCCTTTGAAAACTGATGCATTTTTATTCTTAAATCTTTCTCTGGGTCAAGGAACATCATGCATTTTATTCCTCTTACTCAAGAGTGAGAATAGATTTTCAACTTGTTTACAGAAGCACATTGTGTAGAATCCATCCTTGTGCAAGTTTGACTTCTCACTGGCTTTCTGAACTAACTGCAGGGGTTGGAAGTGGAGAACCATATTACAATAGATCTCTTTCTTTGGTAGTCTATTCCAGTCAGTGTTGAAGAGTGGAAGGTCAGGTCTATGGCCTCCCATTTGTGAGGTAACTGAGAGTTGGCCCCCTCATGTCTGTGTTTAACATCTAATGAAACTGTTATTAGTAATCTGCCACTTCAGGGTTTGATATGATCAGCATAGTGGTGAGACCCAATTATATTCCAACTCCAATCATCCAGTCAAGTGATATCAGGTCCCAAAGTCTGGAGGCTTTATAGATCTGGATGTGTGGAACGTCAGACCCAATCTTGACAAAAATGAGTGGGTATTTGGCTCCTCACTCTGGGATATTTCCATCTTTAGTCTTGGAAGGAGTAGCACTTTCCTATTCAAGACCAGTGAGCAATTTTGGAATCTTCTTGGATTCATAGCTCCTGCTTAAAAAACAACTGACAGCATGGCCCAGAAGACCTTTGAAAAGATTCATCTAGTATTCTGGCTGAGCCTGTTCCTAGATCAGGAAGCTCTTTGGACAGTCATTCATGTCCTAGTCAACTTGTGATTTTTGTAATGTACTCTGCCTAAGGTTGTGCTTGAAGATCATTCAGAACCTATGAATGATCCAGAATGTGGCAGCGGGGGCATACCACACTATGTCCATGGGATACTGTTGCTCTGTGAGCTGCAACTGGTTGCCAAAGGGTTGGTTATTTGAGGGACCACATATGTGCAACAGTTTCTGCCTATCCAGTAAGATCAGACAGGGTGTGTACGCTCCATCATATATCAAGACCTAGGTAGTATGCCATCTTTACTCTGGCATCCCTGTCTGGCTCCCAACCTGAGGATGTTCTGGTGGTCTCAAAACTTGGATACAGGTATGACCACAATTGGAACCAGAATCTGTCATTGAGTGAAGTAGTCATTAAGCGAGATGCCACATGGCCACTTTGCTCAATGACTGCAATCCCAGCATTCCAGATGCAACCGCATTAAGCAATCTTGTGGGTTGTTAAAACAGATGGAGTCCCAGGTAAGGAGTGCAGGGGCCTTGAGAAGGAGGTGGGGGAGGCCCTGGGTGGCCCAACTTAGGCTCTGCATTAAGGTAGGGGTGTGTGTGTGTGCATGCACAAGGATGCTGTGGATAAGGCTCTACTCTGGGCCTGAAAATATTGCTTAGATTCTGCAGGGAGAATTATCAGCCCCAGAGCAGAGAGACCAAGTGGGATTTTTGGTCCTTGAGAGTAGATCTTCCCTGCTGAAAAAATAGAGGATTTTAAGTCCCAAAGAAAAGAGGCTGTGCAGTAAGTAAGGAGCACAGAAGGAAGTGGTAGAGATCACAGGAGACGAAACGCAGGCTGTGCCCTGAGAGGAGGCTGCAGATACGTTTCTTCATTCTGGGGCTGAAAATCCTACTTGGAATTTGACATGGATCTTTTTCAGCCAGTCTCTAGAGATTAAAGGAGTTATCTGGGCAGGTAGCAGCAGCTTGCAACTTACCTTACCAGTTTTCTTAGTTAATTTCCGGGGAAGCCGGCAAGGAAGATTGCAAATGGCAACCACATGATTACAGGGCCCTTGGTAACAAGTTGTAACTTTGGGGAACAGTCATAAGTCCCTTCATTCATCATCATCATAACTTTCAACAGCTGCTGAATGAATGGTTGTAAGACAAGGATTACCTGTATTCTCCTAGACCTTAGAATAGTATTGTGGTTGAGCTTCTGTAGATTTTTGTCGGTTTTTAAAAAAAATCTTTTCGAAGTACATGACTTATTTTTCTATTATTTTATTATTTCTTGTTTTTTAAAGTCTAAGCCACCCAGCATAATCTGGAATTGAGTGGCCTCTAAATCATATAAGCAAACAAAATCTAAGCTACCCAGGGATAAAAATGCATACAATTTTTATCTGCCTCTGCTCGGATCTCCTCAATGCCAAAAGGAGTCCGGCCAAATGACACAAATTCCTGGATTCCATCTGAAGTAACAGAATCCTCTCTTTCCCTTCCATTTAGATTTACCTGCTTAATCGTAAAATCATTGATCAGGTGATGATTATGTTCATTGAGGTTACAGTGTAATGATACGCAGTCACTCTGGTACAGCAGATCCTGAAGTGTGTAGACGCGCTGAACTCCCAGGGACCTTTCAATCCCATCTTGCAGGTATGGGTCATAAAAGATCACGTTGAAGCCAAATGCTTTAGCTCGAACAGCTACTGCTTGTGCAGTGCGACCTATACCAAAAAAGACAAACAAGAAACCACACACACACGCATAGACACAGACGAGTGAATCAGAGAGCTGTAGTAACAGACCTCACAATCTGGCAGTACTTTTAGTTGTGAAGAGTGCATTAAGTATAGACTGAAACAACTGGCTGCCAAATGCATTCTCCTATCGTAACAAAGGCATTCGCGCTACAAGGAAACTCCCCTATTATTTATTTATTTATAGGTTTGCCCATTCCACAGTTTTGGGCATCTTCTAAAACGATATTCCTAACATTAAAGGTGGAAGTTGAACACTTTAAAAAGGCTAAAAGGGACTGGATAAAGAGTTTTCAGTCTCTTCCTAAACTATAATAAGGAGGGGTGAATTTCAATTCTAATGGCCAATTTATTCCACAATAAAGAGGTGCCAATATTTTTACATGCTTAGAAAAAAGACTTTTCATCTCCTTTCCTTCCCCTTCCTGCTGGTAGAACTTAAATCTCCAAGAGATAAATTGTCTCGGCTGTCATCGTTGAAGGTCAAACATGGACCGTGTAATGCAGCGTGTACGAGGGCATTACAAGAATCTGCCTTTAGAATATAGGCAGCTATGGCATTTTTCAAAAAGGTCCATTAAATATTTGTCACTGCGCTTCAGAAGCAATTAATTTGAATAAATTTAGCTATGTGCATGGAGAAGTATGCCCCAGCTTTAACAGAGAGCATGGTGCAATCATCAGCCGGGTGATGTCGAATTCTCAAATTGGAGGGCGGGGAAAAGAAAGAGACAAGAGACTCCAGGGAACTCAAGGCAAGTAATAATGTCTTCCAAAAAACCAGAATGGAACAGGATGCACCTAAACAGGTTAAAAAACAACAACAAATCGAAACAATGCTGTGCATCCAGCCACATTCAAAGCCCTGTATGGCTTCTCAATTCTGATCACCAACAAGAAAGCAGGTTAAGGAACTCTTATTACAAATGACTTTGGTACAACAGTAGAATGACAACCCCCCTCTGAGCCTTATTTATTAGAAGAGCAACTTGTTTGCTGTAGGGGTTTTTCTCCCCCACTTCCCCCTTCCTTCTGCACTCTTACTGAATGGCTATTTAATTGGGCATGACTAAGACAACTGTCATGGTTTGGAAGCAAAGGTTTAATAAGGCTCTTCTGATAAAGAGGGACAGCTGCAATGCAATCAGCAGGTCATTATCCACAATGTCATTCCAATTCAATGTCATTGCTGGTCTCAACTAAGTTCTACATCAAGATGTGTTTTTTCTTAAATGTAGAAAAAGGCAGAGAGAACCAGGCCTAAGCATGCAAAAATGGGTCTCAGAGTAAGATAAGAGGAGTTCCGTGAGAGTGACTAGAGGAAAAACTCCCTTTTCTTACACACTATATTTAGACAAAGATGGAAAGGCAGAGACACGCCCATCTTTGACTGCCAGTACTCATTAACACAGTTATGGGAGAAATGTGCACTTCAGTGCATGCGAGGAAGAAAAACCTAAAAAAAACCCAAATCTGTACTTCCCTCTCCTCAAGAAGCAAGCTACAAATGACTATTAACTGACCTAATTTATTCTAAGCACATAAACCACAGGGATAGAGGGTCAAATAGTGAGACACTCCAAGCATACAATTAAAGAATAGGAGACCAACTCAAGGGAGGGCTGGAAGTTGCTTTCTCCAGAGTCGGGGTGTCTATCCCTCCTCCTTCCAAGCACAGGGAGCTTTGAAACCATGAGCAACAAACAGGCTTCTCACGAGATGGTCCCTCTTGTTTACTTTGTGCTAACAGGAACCATTGTTAGGAAAAGCTGAATTCAGTGAACAGTGTTAGATCAGGGAGGAGAAGAACTGTATAGCTTCCCAAACACTGTTGAAGTACAACTCCTTGGTCCCCCACCATTATCATATAGGGAAGGAGCTGGTTGTTGTGAGCAGATCCCCTGACCCAGGTTACACTAAGCCTTCCCTTTACACTCAAGGTTAAGTTTCTGCTCAAAGCATCCTCCTCCTTAAATAATGGTGCAGCAGCACATCTGGTGGCAGAATCCATATAGGAGTCTCCTTGGAAGATTTGGTCATTATGAGATCTGTTTTGAACAACCCAAAATTTTGTCCCCCCCGAAAGTTCCAACATACCAAATCCGATCAGGCCAAGTGTTTCGCCTCTAATACGGGCTGCTCCGGAAGCCACTTCCCGTATCTGTTCTACACTCTGCACTCGAGTTCCTTCCCTCAGAGCTTGGTAGAGCCAAGTGTTCCGCCTGTACAGATTCAGGACGTGGCAGAGGGTAGAATCAGCTGTTTCTTCAACTGCTGCAGAAGGTATGTTGCAAACAGCAATCCCTGGAGTAGGGAACAGTAACCCAATTTTTAGTGAAGACAGCTCTCATAAAAACTACCGTTTGCTTTTAAATAAACAATTTTCTGTTTCTTGGAGAAGAAAACACTTAGCAACAGTACTAAACTGGATTAAACATAACTTCTCTTGCACAAAGACTCCTTGACTACTTCTGTGAGTTAGCATACACATATTATTTTCAATACGAATGTGTGACATCGAATTTTAATGCTGGTAACTGCAGAATCAGGAACAAGGAAATTCACTTTTCTGAAAAGTACCACAAGGTGGGGAATTCTCACTTGCACATTTCTTTATATTGAGGGTAACACATCTTACAAATCAATTGCAGTCCTTGTCTGAAGGCTAAGGTTGGCAGAAGAGATTGTGAATGCTACTTCTATAGACAAATCTAAGAGAGAACTGCAGCCAATCGGCAGTAGCTCCATACTTTGGGCCCAATGCCTAAGTTATCAATTTATCTGTCTGAATAGCAGTAGTGAAATTGATGCAAAGGCCTGATGTGTGTGTGTGTGTGTGTGTGTGTGTGTGTGTGTGTGTGTGTGTATTCTCACTGTTCTTCTTCTGATCCCATTCAGTTTCAACAAATTATAACCAGAATCCCTTCCTGAGATCTGCAAATGCTATGGAAAGTCTCCAGGCCTCATTTATGCAGTACAAGGATTCCCCACTGATACAGTTGGCTTCCAATCTGGACACCAGCTGCATTTAAAAGTATATACATGTGAAATCTCTTAGACCTTAATGCCATGCTCAATCATCCATGCTTTTTATTTTACCCTAACATTTCTGCCCAAGACTTATTTTCCTCTTCGCCTTGTATATCTGCAAGAAGATGATCTGCCTTCACGGAATGCCCTCCTTTCACAAGGTAACGCTAAGCTAAATGATCTAACGTAATAGGGTTAAGTAATAAGCAGCTTTGATAAAGCGTAGCCATGTTCACTCAGCATAGGACTGATTCTTTTGACGGCAGGATACCAGAGTATGGAGAGGAGTTCAGCAAAATTAGCTTCTTCCCATTCTCCAGTCACTCCAGGATAGTAGCAGCACCATCTGCTTGCATGCTTTGAAAGCAAAACTCATCTTAACCTTATTCACAGATTTCCATCTCTTAAAACAATCTTAGATAACGGGCATAGAGGAATTAATAAAATGCCTTGCTTCAGTACATTTTTATCTCACTTTTCTTCCAATAGCATAAATACCACACACGTACCACTCAAACACTATGCAAAGTTACAAACAGATTATATTGAGGAAAAAAAATGGTTTGATGGAAGTCTATGAGGTTAGCTTCCTGGTGATGCTGAGATTTTAATCGAAGTTCCATTAGCCTTCTTCTCAGACGCTGACATACTCACTTGGGTAACAAACAAATTTCTATATGATAAAGCCGGGTGAATTAAGGCAGTTTCGTTGCGCACTGAAGACCCTGTTGTTCCGCCAGGCAGGGCTATCAACTTAATAATTTTAATTGGGGTATTTTAAATGTTTGGGGTTTTAAATCGGCCAAATCTATGTAATTATTTTAATTTTTAATTATTGTTGTGTGTTGTGTTTTTAAATTGGCTGTACACCGCCCTGAGTCCTTCGGGAGAAGGGCGGTATAGAAATAAAATTATTTATTTATTTTTATTTATTTATTTGTTCCTTCTGAGATAACTTATTTTTTCTCCCATATAATCTTGGTCATACTACATATGGGGAGAGCTGGAGGAAAATATGGAGAAGTGATTGAACCAAACTTGTTCATCCACTTGGTTCATTGCAGATGACTAACTTTTAGCATCTATTAATAGTAAGAACGAAGAGGAGGAACAACTCAGGCACTGAACGTCTACTTACAGTCTTGAGGTTTTTTTTGAAATTGTGAATTACAACTGCATACTACTTAGAGAAATTACACTCCAACATATCTACACGGCACTAGATTGGAAGAAGGTGGCCTACAAGATCCATGAACCTTTGATGTCAGCAGTAGCTTTTCTGTTTTTTAATGTTGCCATGCTATAGGGTAAAGAGTTACGGATGTCTTTAAGGGATATAGCACTAAGAAAAATATTAAGGCATTTAAAATTCCAACAGATCATTTGGACTTCTGAGGCAATAAAAGGAAATAGTCTCCACAGGAAATGTTCAAATGTAAATGATAAGTTACTTCTTTGAAAATTCTCTAAAATATTCTGACAATCAAGTGATGCTAGGAAAAAACATGAGGCGTCATAGGTAATTTGGAACATATTTATGTAAATTACACCACAAAGATTCTAGTTTAGAAAATAGCTACAAAGGATATGTGATTCTTTAGTAAGATTTACAATGGAGTACTTTGAATCAATTAATCTTTTTAATGACACCCTATCGACAGACATACACAGTTGGCAACCTATAAAGATCAATTTTATTTTATATGCTAATGTTATGGAACTCATTAGTGGTAAAACAGTTAACAGCCCTGCTTGCAAATAGCTCAGAACTATTTAGCAGCAAACTGAAATGGCCAATATGTTACAATTCTTCAATTTAGTTAAGGATAGCATCATTAGTTGTTTATATTTGTCAGGTAATAAGAGACTTTGCTGCAAAGGAATATAAAACTAAGGAAACAAATGCCCATATGCCTCACCCTTAATAAATTACTTCTTTAAAATACTTTCCAAATATTGAGTTGAGCGTAAGGTTTTATATAGGGAATAGCTCTAGAAGATACATTTGTAATGTTATATTGGGGTTATCTAATGAAAAATTAAGGCTTCATTATACTGATGATGCTTCAAAATTATTCCCAAATCACTTTCACGTGGAAGCTACTTGGGGCATTCTCTTGATGAAGACCACTGCATGTGATACGCAGCCTTTGGGCTCAGTAAGATCTAAGATAAACCGGTTTCCATTTCTAGGCAGCTATGAACACTCTTTCTGGCAGTTTATTATAATATGGAGACAAACACACACATGCTAAGCCATGCCAAAAGAAAAAAAGAAAAAGGTGTCTCCAAGATAGTACAGTCATCTTAGAGAATCATGAAAGTTGCAGCTTGTGACAGAGAAGGCTGGCATCTGCATAACAGGTAGCACTTCGAAAGGACTATCCCTGGAAACTGTATTATGGAAGGAAGTCTTTAAATAAGATCCTCAAATCCTAGAGTCCTAGAAGAACATTAAGGCAAGAGTAGGAATGTAATCAAAGTCAAAAAAAGTTATCCCAATAACTATATGTCCTGCCTTAGTCATGATAGCCAACTGAGTGACTTTGGGCCAGTCTCTCTCTCTTTCAGTTCAATTCACTTCTCAGAGTGATTGTGATGGGGAAAATAGGAGGGAAAAAGTGTGTTGGATATATTTGCCATATATTTGAGGTATTGATAAAAATAATAAAGGTGGGATACACACACAACTCTCATGTCTGTAACCTTTAATTGGGTAAAGTGTGAATCATAGAGCAAACTACTTGAACCAAGGTACCTCAAATGTGCTAACCTATGGAATGTGTCCAAAATCCAGAATCCTGTCTCCTGTGAAATTAAAATTTGGCAAATTTTGTAAAACATTTCGTGACATAAAATTATCATAAAACATGCAATACACAAAATGTCAGAAACCATTTCCCGCTGTCAATTCCTATACAGTTCAACATGGGCTACTTTCAAGGCAGAAATACAGCTCTAAATAGGTTCCTGAATTTTTAAGAAACTTTTCAAGTACATTAGAAGCTCTGCCATTGCTGAAGGCATTGAGGAATCTGGTAAAGAAATACCACTGAAAGAATGACACAAGGAGTCACGGACTCATTCTGTAGGTTAGCCCATTTGAGGTACCTTAGTTCAACTAATTTGCCCTATGATTCACCATTTCACTCAGTTAAAGATTACAGACATGAGAATTTCTATATTTGTATGTTATCCAATTTTAAGAATATGGGACACTTATAATTTTTTAATAGAACAGGCAATAGAATTTACACAATTTATAAAACTAATATATAATAACCACTATGGTAATATATTTTGGAAGAAACATAGGTCCATTTAAGCAGCTTTAATAGCTATAGCAGTTGGATCCAAAGAGTTGCATCCTCTACATGAAGTCAAACAGTTGGCGTGTATTATTAGGTAATATTTTAGTATTTTATGGATGACTTGCAAAAAGCCATGAATGTACCTACTAGTCTATGTGTCTGGAATAGACATGAAGAGATGCAAAATTTTTATTTCAAACTATTCTCTCAGGTTACTCTCAATAAAGTAATTTATAAACCATAGTTAAAGTTAGCTTCTTTCCTCTAAACACAGTTGAAATTAAATATAGTATACAAAACAAGGCAAGAGCCTTGATAGTACAGGGGTTTAGTGCACCCTGTAATTAACACAGCTGCCTGCAATTTCTGCTGGTTCGAATCTCTCCAAGGCTCAAGGTTGACTCAGCCTTCCATCCTTTCTAAGGTAGGTGAAATGAGGACCCAGTTTGTGGGGGCAATAAGCTGACTTTGTATAAAACATACAAAAGAATGAAGGCTATTGCTTAACGCATTGTAAGCCGCCCTGAGTCTCCGGAGAAGGGCGGCATATAAATCAAATTAAAAAACAAAAAAACAAAAAACCTGTACTAAGATGCTGTTAATCAGCAATAGACACAAAAGTATCCTTCACATATTGTATCCTTCACATATTGTTTTGAACAAAGAGGGTCGAACATGAGAACTAACCCAGGCTTACTTTCTATGTTTAATTGTCCAATCTGATATCAGTTAGATGTGCCAAAATGACTCTCTGGGAATTCTAGGGACAGCAATAGCAGCTTATTTGGACAATGATCTTTTGGGAAAAGCTGGTTTAACATTATTTAAGCCAAATCTTCCATTTCTTCACCTATCATTTCATAAATTTTTCTTGACGCACTAGTATTGAATTCAATGCCTATAGAAGCTTTGTGGATATGGAGATACAGAAATACAGAATAGTACAATCTGTTTCTATCTTCCTAACTACTGAAGATGATTCATGTGTACAACAGGTGACATCACTTTTCCCCAATGCTTCTGAAAGTATAGTATTCTTGCAGAAAACTACAGCAATCTCCATTCTAGGTGAGTGTTATTTCCACATCTGGATTCCATAGATAGGTTCATTTTACTTATATCTTACCTCTACCAGAGATCCCATGTTTACTATGAATCAATCAATCAAATAACATGAAAATATTTTATCATGCATCAGAATTGTATATAAGCTGCTCCCATGAAAAACAAGTCTATAAATACAAATACAAGAACCGTAGTGGCGCAGTGGTTAGAATGCAGTATTGCAGGCTAAGTCTGCTGACTGCCAGGAATTCGATCCTCACTAGTTCAAGGTTGGCTCACCTTCCATCCTTCTGAGGTTGGTAAAATGAGGGTGCAGATTGTAAACTGCTTATAGAGTTCTGTAAAGCATTGTGAAGTGGTATATAAGTCTAAGTGCTAGTGCTACAATCCTGAGACAATTAAATAATTTACTTTACACTTAAGAGACAAGCTACATTTTAGAAAGAGTATCTGTAGGAGTGGCATCTAAACGTACCAAGTTCCCCTGCAGCCTTGATGTCAATGTTGTCATAACCGCTGCCTATCCGAACAATGACTCGTAAGGCCTTGAACTTCTCTAGGTCCTCCCGGGTGAGAGTGATAGTGTGATACATCATTGCTCCAACAGCTTCATTTAAAACCTAAAAGACAAACATGGAAATTGTAGACATTAGTGGAGCAGATGAATCTATTCTGGAATAGTAGCTGAAGTCCAATGTTGAATCGTTCAAATATCTATCAAAGAACATGGTTCAATCAGATAAAAATGCTCAAAAACTCCAGGACAACAGCAGTAATTCTAAAACTTTTCAGCAAATATTTTCAAATCAGATTCTTCATTCTGAAGTTCTTATCTTAATTTCAGACTGTGAATGAAAGCCTGGATAAAAAGATCATCTGAGTAAACAGCAATCATAAACAATGAGAAAATTATATATATACACACACACGTGTGTGTGTGTCCGTCCGTCCGTGTGTGTGTCCCCTTTATCTCCTCACCTGTTCAACCTTCCATTTTACCGTTAGATCCTAAGTCATGATATAGTCCCAAGTAATCATATATTAATATATGCAATTATATAAATCTTAAATAATTTCAGAATTTATGTAGGTTACGACGAATTGTTATCACTTTTGTCAGAATGAAAGTTCCTAATCTGGCATCTATAGACATCAAAATAGCACCGAAGATCTCTCCTGAAGAAAGTAGAAGAAAGTAAGGCTTCCTGCCTTAGGTGAATTTATATATATATTTGTAAAAAAAAAAGAAAGATAAAAACTGGGAACAGGTCTTGTTATAAAGCAAAGTACTTTTGGAACATTATCTTTATTTCCAAGAATACTGTAACTTTCGTGCTCACTTAGATGGGTGATTGCAACCCCATGGTTTGTTTGGAAAATGCTTACCTGCCTGGATAAAATACAAGAAAGCAGAAGTAGTAGGGCGTATAGGATAGTATTCTATAGGTGTGAGGTAAAAGAAGGCAGCATTCTGGTGATCAGCACTTAATTTTATCCCCAATAGCAATCATTTTTTCAAAGAACAATCCTCTGGAGCAGCCATTTTACAAGAGCAAGTACACCATGTTTGCAGAATTCCAAATAGGTGGGTGTCTCTTGATATACTAATACTTTATTTTTGCCACAACACTAATTTAAAAGGCAAGTGAATTATTGCTCAAGGATTATATAACTGAAGGAGAAAGCAAGTAGTCTCCAACCCTTTCTCTTCTCGGTAGAACTTTTCTAATTTCGTTATTGTGTCCTTCCAAGGGCCAGAAAAAGAATAGATACATATCTCTTGAAGAACTATAAGTAAAGTTAAAAGGAGATAATTTTATGAAACATTTTTTTTGCAAGAAGGAGAAAATTGTTAAGATAAATATGGACCATCCCAAACATGTTGCTTGCCTCTTTCCTTATCTCATATATTGCATTAGTTTTCTGTAAATTAAATGGAAATATGGGGAAGAACAAAAGTGGAACAAAAAAACCCTGAATTTTCTCCCTGAATATTTTATCACTGGTTAATTGGAATTCTGCAGTCTTATGACTTTGTGTAAGGCTTTTATTTAGTACAGTAATGACCAGCTCAATGTGTTTAATGTGAAGAAATGTGTTTAATCTGAAGAAATACCTTCTTCTTTCCTCCTCCTCCTCTATATGCAGTATGATCGCAGTGATTCTTATAGTATCAACAAACTTTAACATACTCGGCAATGTACAGCACTGGTTAAAGCCCTTTGTTTATGCTTTATTCAATAGAGATGATCAAGTAAGTTGGAGTATTAAAAAAGAGACCACTTACTTATGTAGCTCTGTCTTCCTTGATTTATGAAATCAGTCAAACTAACTTACTCCACAGCAAAGGCCTTTCTCCCAATACTAAAGAACAGATAGTAAAAACATATACTGTATGTCTATTAACCCTCTAATCTTTCTATTCACTGGTGTCCTATTTATTAATGTGTACAGGGTTTTTACTTTTGCCTTCATTTTACTATTTTCCAAAGAAAATTTATCTCTAAACACCATTCATTTTGACAAAGGAAAAAAATAAAATTAGCATGGGATGTAAATTATTTTTTTTTAAAAAGGCTTTTTTACATGCAAGAATGTTAAGTTACTACAATCTAATTCTCAAAGTTGGATAGCTAAAAAATACAAGAGAAAAAGTGAAACAATTGGCTTCATATCACTGGAAACTGATCCATGGGCTCTATGTGCCTCAGTAAATTTTATACTCTAACACACAGATTAATTTTATCAGTCAAAGAGTCTTTAGAGCTAAAATTACAATCACTCTTGTGACTCCATATGTTGTGTAAACACAGCTTGGAAGAATGTTTTGAATAAGCAATAACGAAGGATTAGATGCTTTGGTAACAGCTTTACATTGGAGTTGATCAGTTATTTACTACAGATGATTTCAAATAAGTGTAGCAAGTTATAATTCTTTAGGACTCTGTCCCGAGGGCAGGATGATCTATGAATGATGGTAATCCTTAAATGATTTTGTCTGCCATCTATATTCAGGCAATTTTTATCTGGCTGCTTTCTATCCCCTTTATATTCCTTTCTGGAAGACCTGGATTTAAATCTTACAATCACAGCAAAAAATCAGTTTCCATACAGCATTCTTTCAGCCTGCTCAGCTTTGCTCAAAGATAAGCACTGACAAAGACAAATTTATCTTGTACTTTCAAGATCCAAATTCTCAGAGATTTAGAATTTTTGTCACCACAGGGGGAAAAAAAAGAATGAGTTTTTATAAGGCTAGGAAACTTGGTCCACAGTACAGGCATGGTAAATGAATAATGATGCCAACAGATCTGAATACTTCTCAGGATCAAACTATATGTTACATTCAATTTATGTAACCAGGGGATCCTTTCCTCTCCTTTACTTTAATTCCATTTTGTTGACCATGTTTTGACTAGGACCACCACAAACAGTAGAGTAACTTCCCACTAAATTGTTTTCTTCTTAACATTTTTCTATGTTTTTCTAAAAAAGGGAGAGAGTGGCATACTAAATATAATTAGTACCTCAGTTATTGGCATTCTATTAAAGTAGTTTCCAAATTTTGCCCAGATATCAAAACCACTTATTTCCGAATAAAGCTCATAATAAAACTTACCTTTTCAATAACACAAGAAGTTCACTTTTAAGGCTAAATCTCTAAATAATACAAAATTTTAAATTGAGTATTTAAACAACTGAAAAAAATTCACAACCTGAGGAATTTATGTAGCGTTTAAAAACTTCAGTTATATATGCAACTAAAAGTCTTCCTATTTCTAAACAACAGTAAATAGGAAACAGCCCTATTTCTAAACAATGTAACTTCTGCTTTTTTCCAAAACTTACACAAAAATTGTTACTAAAATGTATTCAATAATATAGTACAATTGATGTCAAATTCTTTTTCTGTGCCTGAAGACTGAGGGTATGGATGGGGGAAAACACACTGCAAATCTGTCTTAGCAAGGCTGAGCACCTTTCAGCTTTTGGCCCCTGGGATCAGGTAGCTTTTTAAAAAATATTTAACCCTTGATGGGGTTTATAGTCCTTCAGACAAAGTGGATGTGGGGTTTGAACTCCTGCTCAAAAGAGCAAGATATAAGCTCTGGATAGGGTGCCTGGGATTGTCTTGATTTCTGTGTGCCAATTGTGCCCATTCTTAGATTAGGAGGTCTGTTCACTCTCACTCATGTCTTATTTACTTCCTGATTAGATTACTGCAATACTCTCTACCTGGTACTGCTCTTGAAGACTACTTGGTCAAAAACACAGCAGCTGTACGAGTTTTCAGCATGTTTTAGGGGAAATTCAAAATGCTGGTTATTGGCTTTAAAGCATGTATGGCCCAGGGATAGGGTTACTTGCAAAACTGCCTATCTCTCTCTCCGGATCCAAAAGGATGGGCATGCTCCATATCTCCTCTATTAAACAGGCCATCTTGCAGGACCACGGAGACTTGCCTCTCTATTATGACACCTGGTCTACAAAACAGCCTCCCTTTGTGATTAAGACCTGGGAATTAGGGTCAGAATGTTAAAAGAAGCCAACAGGTCCATCAGTTCTGTCAGTTTGTTATCTATTGTTTTGGTTTTTATTTCGTACTGGATTATTTTTACCTGTGTTTGGTTATGGGTTATTTATTTATTTATATGATTGTGAACTGATCAGAGTTATGTATTTAGGACTATTTCTTGCTATGTACGTTTTTCCTTGCGATGTACATTATATATCCAAACTAGACTGTGTTGTTTCTCTGTATCATATAATGTATGTGGGTATATACATAATTTTGTATATATTTATTTTGTTATGTTTATGTAGTGTATATTGGAGGTGGTGACCCTTTGAAAGTTGTATGCAATGAAATTTCATTTTAACGTATGCTGATTAGTGTAGATTCAAACTGACAATAAAGTTATTGTTCTGTTCTATTCATAACTCTGATCAGCTATGGTAAAATGTAGACATTCCACAAAGACTTCCAATATTCTCTAAGGCTATTCTCCAAGCAAAAAAATCAAGACTTCCTCAGCAATTCAGTGGGAAAAAACAACAGCAGTAACTTGATTGCAAGAAGTGAAAAGTGAGTAAAAAATTCTTAGGTATATCCCTACCCTGAGTCATTTTTCTATTCTTAATCTCCTTTTTATAGTTAGTTAGAAAAAGGCTACCAGGGGAAAATGTTATATATAAACGTCTTAACATTACTCTGGAGTTTGCTTGTCTCATATTAGCTCTTCTTAACTTACAACATTTCTACTTCTCACATTTCAAGGTGACTCAATTGAGGTAATAATTGAGGTTTCATCTCAATTATTCTTGCCAATCAACGTGATAAGATTTTTAGCCAAGCTGACAATGTTTCTAGAAAGCACTTAACTTATTGTCTAGATGAAATCCAAGTATATTTTATCTAATTTAATAGTTTCTTTTTGCTTTCATCTGCTGATTTACATCAGGTAAGAAAATCAATCAAAATAACAAAACTTGTACTTCGTGAACACATGCTATTTAGTTCCAATATTGTTCTCCGATGCTGTGAATTTAAGGAGCACTGTACCTGCATCAGGCAGATTGGTTGCATTAATCTCTTTCTGATCCCCTATCTATTTATAAAAGCTGTCTTGTCAGATCAATTGTTAAAATCAGATTATTTATTGTGGCTTCATCAGCAGCACATTTAATTATTAAATCCATACAGAGTCTATCAAAGATTTTTGCTGCATGCAGGGATCCAAATTCCAGATATCTGTCACAGATTATCAGGAGAATTATGTCAGTAGAAACAGGAGGAGGCAGAGAAATCATACAATTAAATCAAGAATGCATGGTCATCAATTTACTATACAATACCAATTCAATTCATCATTTCATCATGAAGATTAGCAAGAGCTTTCCATAAGCTTGATATACACTGAGAGAAGAACTATTGGCTCAATCTCTTTGTAACAGCACACAAAGTAGAATGTGGAATTGCAATAAGTTTCAAAATAAAATGAAGTCAGCAGTGAATTTTAGTTGTATTCTAAAATGTTCTTTTGCTTACTTTATAAGTTTGTCTATTTGTAACTTATGTGTACAATTATTATAGGAATTTGTTAATTCAGCAATGTAAACCTGTAGGACCTTTTGAGATTATTCAACCACAACTTGCGGAATCCCTCAACCAATCCAAGTACATAAATCAATCATTATGTACCTGGTGGATATGATTTTGATGATATGATAGTTTACCCAAAAATGATTGGGAACCACAGGTAAAAATACAATTATCCTGAAATTTTCTGGGGAAAAAGGATGAATTGTTGCTAAATACAGGACACTTTTCTTTTTGTGTTAATTTGCAAAGCACATTTTCTTTACAAGGTTCATCTTGTATGCCAATTGTGCCCATTCTTATGTACAAGATTGCAAGTGCCTTCAGATAGTCACTCAGGCTTTGGCCACATCTTGACTGGAATACTGTATCGTGCTCTACATATATGGATGCTTTTGAAGATCACTCAGAAGCTATAGCTGGTCCAGAGTGCAGCAGCGAGGGCCATAATGGTCATGTTATGTATGTGCAGTATCCCTGATGCTTTGAAGCTACAATGATCACCAGTTGGCTTTTAGGTACAACTCAAGGTGTTGGTTATCACCTCTAAAGCCCTGAATGGCATACACTCTGCTTATTTGAGAATCTGGTGAGATAAGCAAGTGTGGGCATGTAAATTAAGCAGTGCCATCTTGTGGGACCTAAAAAGCATTTCCTTTTTGGTGATTACCAGATTATCAAATGTTTTCCAGATTCCTCATTCCCTAGGATGGCTGTAGAGTCCTTTGACTGCCCCCCACCCTCTGTTTGACATTATGGGTTTATATCTCTGTCAGTTATTTGCCCCCCCCCCCCGTCTGTTTGACATCTAGGTCAGATGCTTTGAAATTGAAATGATAATAAATACCTTTTCGTGTATTTCCTGAGTAGATTGAGCATCACAGAATGCAACAGTAGCCAAGTCCTTCAAAATAGGCATCTCCACTGTACAATCCCTTCCATCTAGCAAAGCCACCAATGGACGAGGATGCAAAGGGCCATTCATTATTTGTGGACGTATACCTGGAATTAAATGAACATAAATGTTAACGCAACATTAGTGGACTCATGTAAACAGAAAACTTCATCTGAATCTGTACTAAAATGCCTTGGCTTTCTAATGGTGAACTGATGCTGCTTAAAGCAGGAATTTACAGATCATCTAACGATTTAATTAGAATTTGAATTAATAGTTTACAGGATACGGAGAAAAAGCCCCAATGTGATACATAAAACTTGCCCCTTGAAAATTATGTACAGAGCTGTACTTTTAAGATGGTTATAAGGACTTTTATTAGTTAGATTCCCATTTGGAACATCTGGGTTAGCTTCAACAAAGATAGCACAAGTGCTCCCAGCTCATTCACAGGCACCTCAAATGTACCTCTCTAGAAATAACCCATGCTAATGGATGCAAAGCGGAAGGGCAGCAGAGATTATGTTCTGGCTTGGAAGATGGTTCTATCAAGTAATTAATCTTTGGCACTAGTACTAGATGGAGTCAGAATCACTTTAAGCAATAAATAAAGATATAGACCATCAAATAGTTGTCTCACTTGTTCCAAGTTACTTTGGGTAGAATCAATTTTCCCTGAAGTCAACTTGTTCAATGGAAAAAACCCCAATTTTAGAAAAGGCCAGAGATATCCATACCACTTCTATTTGGGAAATATAGGAAAGTCAATATTAGATACTAGTCAACACTAGAAAGTTTGCTCTTATATTAGAACTCACCATAATCCCTTCAGGAACCTTGTATATATCTTTATAGCATATACAACCTAGGAGGATGAGTCCCTTTGAACTGCGAGATGGGTGGCAAATAAATTTAATGATGATGATGATGATAATAATACTAGAACTCATCCTAAGTTGTGTATGCTATAAAAATATACAAACTCTCATCAGCCTAATTTTAAGATTCTCCCATTGTTACCAAGATATGTTGCAATTTATTTTGTTGTTGTTAGTTCAGATATACATTTGTTCTAGCTGTCCAGAGTCACTTGATTGTGTTCCATTAGAAAAGAAAAATGAAAAACCTACTGATGTCATTTGATGGCCACAAGGCATTGTGACTAATTTCTTTTATCTGCGTATCTGATACAAATTTGTATTGCGATTTCTGATTTAAGCTTGTGTTATGCCAATCATCTTGCTTGTGTATATGTATGATACGGTCACTGACCAAAATAGAGTGATATTGTTTGTAATGATGTTGTTAACCGGATTATTGTCTGATTTGATATAACAATGATAATCTAAAGTCAGGGCATAAACACACATTGGCACTGTTTCCTGAAGCTTTTACAACAAATATTTTGGTACTGCTTGCCATATAGAAAATAGTAAAGAGCTTCAGAATTACTCAGTGATTATGGCATGATGATAGGGGAGCTCAATGTTTATTTGTGAAATAGTTGAACGTTGTCTGATCTTTTTTCTTTATTCTGGACTATTTCAACTTAGCTAATAGGGTTCTTTCTGTATGTATTGTGTATGTGTTTGCAATTTGGTTGTTAGTCAACCAACTTATGTATTTCAGATGGAGCCCTTTAATTTTTTTAAATAAATAAATATGTTGAAATAGTGAGCTAGGCATCAAAACTACAACACTAAAAGCAATAAATAAACTCCACCTGGATGGGTAATTTGCCCAGGGCTTCAGTAAATACCCATTGGAACTCTGATGAATTTCTCTTGGCTAAATATTGCATTTTGGAGATTAACATTTCTCAATATAATGCCCATCATTTTTATTAGGACTATAACTCCCTATTGGGATGAACAATAGTGAAATAAAAAAATTGTACAGAGTATAGTAATACCAAGATCTTTCACAGAATCTATTGAGGATACTTTAATTTGTAATCTGATATAAATCTTCAAAACTCACTTCTGAGCATGGACATAAAAATAGCAACAGCTACAAGTAGTCCTTGACATACAACTGACAAGCAAAGTCAATGGGGAAGCCAGATTCACTTAACAACCATGTTACTAACTTAACAACTGCAGTGATTCACTTAACAACTGTGGCAAGAAAAGTTGTAAAATGGGGCAAAACTCACTTAACAAATTTGTCACTTAGCAATAGAAATTTTGGGCTCAGTTGTGGTCGTAAGTCCAGGACTACTTGTATTTTGGTAAGTTGTTCTCTCTGTCATACTTCTCTCTCTCTCTCTCTCTCTCACACACACTCACTCTCTCTCTCTCTCTCTCTCTCTCACACACACACACACACACACACACAAGCAAAAAAGCAGCATCTGACTCAAGGCCACTTCAATTACAAGATGCCACTGCCACTGATTACTTCAAAATTGTTTCTAAGAAAGAAACAATTACTTCGAACTATTTCCCTGTTAAAGCAGGAACATTCTAGAATCTTACAAACATGTCCCTTAAGATTATTGCTTTGATTGTTTTTGATTGCTTTTATTGTTCAGCACTGGAAAATGAAAGACAATGAAAACATTTGTGGAATGCAATCCATGTTCTGAGGAAGGGCTGGAGATGTGACAGTTAATCATACAGGACAAAATCAAGAAAAAAAATCTATTCTAATCTCCTCTATTGTTAAACCAAATTACTACATTTATCAGTATATACACATGTCCTTTCTGCCATCTATATTACTGACCAAAGTGTGACCTTCTTAAAACTGATGGAGTAAAATTTCCACTTTTCCTCACCATTGGCCATATTAGCGAGGGATGATGATAATAATACTAACTGCAAGGCTAGACATTATCCTGTATTAGGGTTAAATCAATGAGACTCTAGAAAGAGTGCAGAGAAGAGCAACAAAGATGATTAGGGGACTGGAGGCTAAAACATGAAGAACGGTTGCAGGAACTGGGTATGTCTAGTTTAATGAAAAGAAGGACTAGGGGAGACATGATAGCAGTGTTACAATGTCTCAGGGGCTGCCACAAAGAAGGAGTCAAACTATTCTCCAAAGCACCTGAGGGTAGAACACGAAGCAATGGGTGGAAACTAATCAAGGAGAGAAGCAATTTAGAATAAGGAGAAATTTCCTGACAGTTAGAACAATTAATCAGTGGAACAACTTGCCTGCAGAAGTTGTGAATGCTCCAACACTGGACATTTTTAAAAAGATGTTGGATAACCATTTGTCTGAAGTGGTGTAGGGTTTCCTGCCTGGGCAGGGGGCTGGACTAGAAGACCTCCAAGGTCCCTTCCAACTCTGTTATTCTATTCTATTCTAATTCATGAAAGGGCCTGAGGGAGCGAGTGCTTAGAGCTGAAACAGCATGATATCTCCAGAACTTCATGGTCCCAGCCCAACAATCTTAATATTTTCAATATTTTTTTATTTATCTATATATTCTTTCAAAGGATCATTTTTAACTACAAGAATGACATTGAGTTAACATGACCTCACAGTTTGCGACATAAAAATGCAAGTCCAGGGGTTGTTTGAAGAAAGAGCAAGACAAAGAAAAGCAAGAGAAAAAAAGGGTAGATAGTACCCTAAGTGGTAGGAGTTGACGACAGTATTAAGCAAATTTGTTAGTCTACATTCTGTAAATGGGTTTTGTGACTGGCCACTCCTTCACGGCAGCCTTTTTGAAAAGACACCCAGGACATGCTCCCGTCCCAATTTAAATGTGCTAGCAGTTCACAAATATTGTCTATGAGAATGTTATGACTAAAATTATACGCCCCCTCAGCATCATACTATACAAAGTGGTTAGAATATTAAATGAAATCTAAACTCTATTAAGAGTCAGTTTGGGATAGTGGTTGAACTACCAGGCTAGAAATTAGGAGACCCTGAGTCCCATTTTAGGCATGAAGCCACCTTGGTCAGTAACTTTCTTAGTCCTAGTAAACTTCTTCTGAAAAAACTTGCCAAAAAAACTACAGGGAATTGTTCAGGCAGTCGCTAAGAGTCTTGGTTCGAAGACACCCTTCTTAAAACAACTACCCTTAGATCTGGACAAAAGGGAAATTACAAAGGAAAAAGCAATCAATTTCATGCAAAATTAGGAAAATATTACAAGTTGTCAATTTTATTATGCATTATAGAGCATGCCGATTTTGTAGATTTAGCATTTTGTAAAATTTGGGGCAACAGTCTGCTTATCTAGTTAGCTCTTTGGGAGTTATGAAGTCAGTATGTCTACCCAAATAACTTTTCAGATCAATTTGGCACATGGAAACAACTAGTAAAAAACTTAGTTTACATGCAGAATGTTCCTACAGTTTGAGATTCAGATATTGGGAACTAACTGAACTTTGCCTTCCTAGTCACCCTAACTATCTCCCAGTTCTAGTGGCTAATGCAGCAGATATCAAATTAATATCTGCTCCAATCAAAAGAACACTTGGCAATTAGCAATAAGTAAAACACAAAAACAGTATCTACCACAACAGCCTCGGTGTGTGTATGTGTCCAATAAAATCACAATAATCAGAATAACAGAGTTCGAAGGGACCTTGGAGGTCTTCTAGTTCAAGTCCCTGCTCAGGAAGCCTGCTGTCCCACTGGTCAGGAAACCCTATACCATTTCAGACAAATGGTTGTCTAATCTCTTCTTAAAAACTTCCAGTGTTGGAGCATTCACAACTTCTGCAGGCAAGTTGTTCCACTGATTAATTGTTCCAACTGTCAGGAAATTTCTCCTTAGTTCTAGGTTGCTTCTCTCCTTGATTAGTTTCCACCCATTGCTTCTTGTTCTGTCCTCAGGTGCTTTGGAGAATAGCTTGACTCCGTCTTCTTTGTGGCAGCCCCTGAGATATTGGAACGCTGCTATCATGTCACCCCTATCCTTCTTTTCATTAAACTAGACATTACAATCACAGTAACCTATTCATAAACAATCGCTCCTATCACTCACCATAAATTTTTTGAAACAGTTTTGTTTTTAAAAATTTCCAGAAGGTTAACAATGTAGGGGCAAACTGATTTACAAAGACATTCCAAACTGTTTTTGATTTTAACAGTTGCCTTGCTGCTGTGACACCACAAGGGTGCTACTATCACAATGAAAATG